AGATTAAAAGGTCCAGAAATCGGGAAATGGAAAAATAAAAAAAAATCGAAAATCGAAAATTCGAAAAGTCAAAAAATCAAGAATTCGAAAACTCAAAAAATCCGATTAATCTAGAAATTGATAATTTAGAAACACCAAAAGTTAAAAAAGTTAAAAATCGAGAAATCGAAACACCAAAAAATTAAAAACTCGAAAAATTGAAAAATCGAAGAATAAAAAACTAGAAGTTCGAGAAATCGGACAGTCGAAAATTAAATTAAAAAACTGAAAACTCAAGAAATAGAGACCTCGACCACCGAAAAATCGAGAAATCGATAAATGCAAAAATAAAAAAATCTAAAAGTCGAAGTCAAAAAATCGATTGGTGTAGAATACATCGAAAAATTAAAAAAACGAAAACTCGAATATAGCTGAAAAATCAAAAAAGTAAAAAATAGAGAAATGCAAAAATCGTGACGAAAAATCGAAAAATTGATAAATCAAAAAGTCGAGAAATCGTGACGTCGACTAATCGTGACATTAAAAGTTCCAGAAAACGGGGAATGAAAAAATAAAAAATTGAAATATCGAGAAGTCAAAAAATCTAGAATTCGAAAACTCTAAAAATCGGTTGACCTAGAAATCCAAACTTTAGAAATGCCAAAAGATGAAAACTGGAAAAATGAAAGATCGAGAAATCCACAAGTCGAAATATGGAATGTTTTAAAAATCAAAACATAGAAAAATCAAAAACTTGAAAAATTAAAAATCAAAAAATGAAGAATTGAAAAATCACAAACACTAAAAAATAAACAATCCAAAAGGGTCGAGAAATCGAAAAACCGTAACGAAAAATAAAAAAATTGATAAATCAAAAAATTAAAAGATCGAGAAATCTAAAAGTCGAAAACCCGAATATTATAAAAATCAAAATCTTGAAAAATTAACAAATTGAAGCCTAGAAATTGAGAACTGAGAAAATCAAACTATCGAAAAATCGATTAATCGGGAAATCTAAAATTTAGAAAAGCTAAAAATTGAAAACTTGAAAAATCGAAAAATTGAAGATTTGAAAAACTGAAAAATGGAGAAATCGTGACGTCGACCAAGCGTCGCATTAAAAGGTCCAGAAATCGGGAAATGGAAAAGTAAAAAAAATCGATTAATGTAGAAATCGAAAATTTAGAAACACCAAACTTGAAAAATCAAAAACTCGAAAAATTGAAAAATCGAAAAGTTGAAACGAAAAATCGAAGAATAAAAAAACTAAAAGTTCGAGAAATCGGACAGTCGAAAATTAAATTAAAAAACTGAAAAGTCGAGAAATAGAGACCTCGACGATCGAAAAGTCGAGAAATCGATAAATGGAAAAATCAAAAAATCAAAAAGTCAAAAAATCGATTGGTGCAGAATACATCGAAAAATTAAAAAAACGAAAATTCAAATAATTGATAAATCGAAAAATCGATAAATCGTGACGTCGACTAATCGTGACATTAAAAGTTCCAGAAAACAAAAAATGGAAAAATAAAAAAAAATCGAAACATCAAAAAATCGAAAGAGTTGGGATCCCTGAGAAGGTTTCACATAAAAAAAAGACATTTGGCGCCTCCGAGGTTTTACATTTTTAAAAAGACATTTGGGACTCCCGAGAAGGTTTTACATTTTTAAAAATTCGAAAAAAGTGATAAGTAGAAAACGAAGAAATTAAAAAATCTGAAATTTAAAAAATGGAAAATCGAAAAATCGAGAAATCGGACAGTCGAAAATTAAATTGAAAAACTGAAAACTCAAAAAACAGATACCTCGACCATCGAAACATCTAAAAGTCGAGAAATCGGTAAATGGAAAAATCAAAAAATCTAAAAGTCGAAAGTCAAAAAATTACATTACATTTTACAATGTAGAAAACGAAACTTCAAAAAATTCAAGTAATGAAAAATCGAAAAGGTAAAAAATCCAAAAACCGTAGAATCGAAAAATTTAACAATCGAAAAACTGAGAAATCGGGAAAATCGAGACGTCAAGCAATCGAAAAACTGAGAAGTCAAGAAATGGGGAAGTCAAAAAATCAAAAAATCGAAAAATTGGAGACACCAAATATGGTAAAATCAAAAAATTGAAGAATCGCAAAATCATAAAAAGCGAAAAATGGGACAATTGAGAAACTAAAAAATTAAAAATTCTAATAATCGGATAATTGAAAAACCGAAAAGTCGAAAAATCGAACCATCGAGAAATGGAAACATCAAAAGATTGAAAAAACTACTATTTAAAATTCAAAAAGCTGAAAAATAGAAAAATCGAAGAAATGCAAAATCGAGAAATCGAAACATCAAAAAATAGAACAATTGAAAAATTGAAAAATCGAAAAGTCGAAAAATTTAAGATTCGAAATGTTGAGAAATTTCAAAACTTAATGTTCAAGACAAATCAAAGAATAAAAAAACTGAATCTTCGAGAAATCGGACAGTCGAAAATTAAATTAAAAAACTGAAAATTCTAAAAATAGAGACCTCGACCATCGAAACATTGGAACGTCGAGAAATCGATAAATGGAAAAAATCAAAAATTCTAAAAATCGAAAGTCAAAAAATCGAAAAGTTGAAAGGTCGATTAGTACAGAACACATCGAAAAATTGAAAAAACGAAAACTCGAATAATTGAAAAATCAAAAAAGTAAAAAACAGAGAAATGCAAAAATCGTGACGAAAAATCGAAAAATTGATAAATCAAAAAATCGAGAAATCGTGACATTAAAAGTTCCAGAAAACGAGGAATGGAAAAATAAAAAAATTGAAAAATCGAGAATTCGAAAACTCAAAAAATCGGTTGACCTAGAAATCCAAACTTCAGAAATGCCAAAAGATGAAAAATTGAAAAATCAGAAACTGGAAAAATTTTAAAAATCGAAAAACTGAAAAATCGAAGTAAAATTGAAAAATGGAAAAATGAAAGATCGAGAAATTCAAAAGTCGAAAAACCGAATATTATAAAAATTAAAAAATTGAAAAATCAAAATCTTGAAAAATTAAAAAATTGAAGCCTAGAAATTGAGAACTGAGAAAATCAAACGATCGAAACATCGATTAATCGGGAAATCAAAAATTTAGAAAAGCTAAAAATTGAAAACGAAAAATCGAAAAATTGAAGAATTGAAAAACTGAAAAATGGAGAAATCGTGACGTCGACCAAACGTCACATTAAAAGGGCCAGAAATCGGGAAATGAAAAAGTAAAAAAATCGAACATCTAAAATTCGAAAAGTAAAAAAATCGATTAATCTAGAAATTGAAAATTTACAAACACCAAAAGTTAAAAAAGTGAAAAATCAAAAACTCGAAAAATTGAAAAATCGAAAAGTCGAAACAAAAAATCGAAAAATTGAAGATTCGAAATTCCAAAACTTGAATATAAATCGAAGATGAACTATGAAGATAAATCGAAGAATAAAAAAACTAAAAGTTCGAGAAATCGGACAGTCGAAAATTAAATTAAAAAACTGAAAACTCAAGAAATAGAGACCTCGACCAGCGAAAAGTCGAGAAATCGATAAATGGAAAAATCAAAAAATTTAAAAGTCGAAAGTCAAAAAATCGATTGGTGCAGAATATATCGAAAAATTGAAAAAACGAAAACTCAAATAATTGATAAATCGAGAAGTCAAAAAATCGGGAATTCGAAAACTCAAGAAATCGGTTGACCTAGAAATCCAAACTTCAAAAATGCCAAAAGATGAAAAAGTGAAAAATCGAAAAATTGAAATACAAAAAAAATCGAAAAATGAAAAATTGAAACATCAGCAACTGGAAAAATGAAAGATCGAGAAATCCAAAAGTCGAAAAAAATTAAAAATCAAAACATTGAAAAATCAAAAACTTGAAAAATTGAAAAATCAAAAAATTGAAAAATGAAAAATTGAAAAATCACAAACACTAAAAAATAAACAATCCAAAAGGTAAAAACTCGAGAAATCGAAAAACGGTGACGAAAAATTAAAAAATTGAAAAACCGAATATTTTAAAAATCAAAAAAATTGAAAAATCAAAATCCTGAAAAATTGCCTAGTAATTGAGAATTGGGAAAATCAAACGATCGAAAAATCGATTAATCGGGAAATCGAAAATTTAGAAAAGCTAAAAATTGAAAACTTGAAAAATCGAAACATGGAGAAATCGTGACATCGACCAAAAGGTCCAGAAATCGGGAAATGGAAAAATAAAAAATAATCGAAAATCTAAAATTCAAAATGTCAAAAAATCAAGAATTCGAAAACCCAAAAAATCGATACATCTAGAAATCGAAAATTTAGAAACACCAAAAACTCGAAAAATCGAGTTGGGACCACCGAGAAGGTTCCATATTCTTAAAAAATATATTTGGGGCCCCTGACAAGACTTTATATTTTTAAAAAGACAGTAGGGACTCTCGACAAGGTTTCACATTACAAAAAAATTGTCGAAAATTACTACGACAGACCTTCCCTCCCCCATAAAGCACAGCCTGTCAAATCCAGCTCTATAAAAAAATTTAAAGATTTGGCTTGCGAATTTTATTGTTTTTTTTATGTCAACCATGATCAGATAAAATAAAAATACGTATCTATTACAAAATTTTGTGTTGATGTCATCTACATTTTTGCAAGGACGCATAATATCAGTTTGGATAGATGTATTGTAATACTAATAATAAAAGTATTGTATTATCGTTATTTTTGAACCGTGATTTATAATCAATAAAATAACGAAAAAATTTAATCATGTCTGCTTTATGTAATAACAGAAGTGCTCAATTGCACTGAAAATCATCTATGGTACTCGTAATTTAAGACAAATAGCGATAACACTTATCAACCTGTAGACGTGAGAGTGAACCAGAGACTAAACTAAAAGACGGTTTCTACGAATTGCAATAACTAGATCACAATGCCGACGGTCCAGACATTTTTATTCCACTACATTTTATTTTGATTTTCGATGTTGTAGACAGACAGACGGAAACGGGAGACTACTTTTTTCATACCTCAGAAAAGCGTCGTCGGCGGGGTACATAGCGCACGCAAACATGAAGTCCTGCCAAATAATGAGCCCGTACTCGTCGGCCAGGTCGTAGAAGTAGTCCGACTCGTAAACGCCGCCGCCCCACACCCGGAGCATGTTCATGTGCACATCTCTGGCGCTCTGCATGAGGAACTTAATACTGGCTTGATCCAGACCCTTCTCTGGTAGAATGTTAACTGGAATTTCGTTCGAGCCCTTGGCGAAAATCGGGTGGTCGTTCACTTTGAAGTAGAAACTGAGCCCTTGTTCTGGAAAGTAGGTGGTTAGATGGGGGTGGGTAGGTCATAGCTTGTGGTTACCCAGTTCGTCTTGCACTACTTCGATTGTTCTGAAACCTACTCGGACGGTTTTTTCGTCTTCTTCGGTTTCACCCACGAAGCCCACGGTTAGGTTGTAGAGGGGTTGGGCGCCGTAGCCGTTGGGCCACCAGAGCTCGACACGGTCCTGGAATATTACTAGTACGTTTAAGCATCGTTTTACAAGTTTTTAAACTGTCAAAACTGGAAAGCATGGCCAACTAGCTCTACTAACTTAAGGGAACTCGCTAGACGAAGTATAACATTTTTTTTGGTTTTTTGTATGAAAAAATGATATTAATATAGATGTATCATACATCAAACTGCAGCCTTTTTCATATTCTAGAGCGCAGAGACCAGTTCAATCAATTAAAAAAATATGGTTGAGAAATATCGTAAAAAAGCACCATTGTATGTCCTCTTTTCAAGTTTTTTCAGTCATAACCATCATAGAATCGCTTGAAAATAAGCACATGGATAAAACATCACTTTTTACTGGTCGCAGAGTCATTAAATGTTTGTTAGTGGTACAATTTGTTTAAATAATAATGTGTTTATTAAAATCAAAATATACCACAAATTAATGCAAAATACGTCGAATAATTTTAACAGGAATATCAGAGGAAAATTAATGATCTATTGGTTAGCAGAGTTTTTAACAAAAACTAACAATTATTGAAAAAAATGGGTATCAATTCGACAGAATTTGAGCAGTTAGTTCAGTACTTTGCCGATAGGAGCGCCACTAAAATTCACGGAAGCGACTTTCCAGCTAAAACCCTTATCGCCTGCTCTACCATAAGCTGATTGTTAGAGTTCTCGGCTGATTTTTCTAATTTATGACAAGGAACTCAGTTTTATAACAAGCCGCCAGGACCGGCCGTAGTAATCTATTGTTAACGAAATTAACTTTTACGCAAAGAGGTACTATCATAAAACTGAATTAAAACTGGGGAACTATAATATTTTTACTCCACTCAGGATCCTGAATTCAATACACATGATTACTAAAAATTCATTGTAATATTATTGTTAATATATATTTTGCTTTGTTAATTAATAAAACTAATAAACATATTTATAATAATAATAAAAAATATATAAAATACAGCTTTTGTTTAACACGTATAAGTAGCTAAGTGTATCTACTACTTATCCCAGAAAGGAGGTGTTTTAAAAAAGCCCTACGCCCAGTAACGTCTCCCTTCATTGTTTACTCGAAAAAAGTGCTCGTATATGTTTTCATTTGCCGAGAGATCATTTTCAAAATATATTTATAAAAAAATATGCAAGTCTTGGTGATAAAAAATCTACTCCTAATAAATTATTAAAGTACATAAAAAATAGAAACAAATTTTATTTATTTTAAAAAAATCTCTCGCAAAGGCAGGTTCCTCCTTCTTCTTAAATCAATTATTTCGGGCAATAATGCGCCAAAGTAAAATCTCCCAAGTTTATCTGCCATCTTTTTACATATATTTCTTCGTCTTTATAAATTTTTTCTATATTTATTCCTTTGGATGTCCATACAACAAAATAAACTTGTGAAATACCCGTAACAAGCATTTGTCCCTGGACTTGAAAGTAGTAATCATAATTTTTTTTAGTTTCAATTCTCTGTCTGTCAATGTACAAAATTTGATTATTTTTTTTCTAACCGCTTCTTCGGGAGATAAATCTTGCGATTTTGAAGGGCATTTAATTTCGACTAATGCACTCCTATCCTCTAGAACCCTGTCTGGACTAGCACCCAAGTAAGGAAATTGTTTTGAAATAAAGACACACCGTTCAGTTTTTATATTTTTATTTATTTCAAAACACTTGACAGCTTTTTCCTCACTTTGCTGTGCATAGTATGCATGACTGTTACCTCTAAATGTACTATACAACAGAGATTCCACAGTTTTAGCTATTGCTGTAGTCGGTCTAAGTTTGTAAATACGTCTAAAATTTGAAACCGTAACCCTAATTTCTCTTTCTTTTGCCCAAATGTGCCTGTTGCCTAGTGTCTATTTCAATTTGGTCTAAATTCAATGATAATTTTCTCAAAAAAACCTCTTTGGCTGTCACAAACGTTTCTACATCCATGACAAGAGTTTCTAAAAAATATTTAAACCATAATCGCAGTCGGGACCAGCATACGTAATTTTTTTACGACATATTTTTTTACGAATACTTTGTCTAAGACGAGCTTGTTTTATAGACGAACAATATTCTTTTGTTATTAAACCAGGACCGTTTTAATCACAATATATTTACTTATCCCCTCTAAAAAATTGATGACGTCACCTCAAAATTTTGCTGAATAAATCCTATCTAAAATGTACAAAATATGGTGAGTCTCTTCTTGTGATTTATCATTCCATTCATGTTTTTTGGATTTGCATATACAGGATGACCCCAAAAATTAATGAATGCGTAAATTTATTTTATTGATTTAATCAGGAACTACAAAACCCAATGCTTTGAAATCTTGCAAATGTTTTAAGGTTATAAAGAGCATAATACATTTTTAGTCAAAATATATTTGCTTAACCCCTCCAAAAAATTGATGACGTCAGCTCAAAAGTTTGCCGTATAATCCTATTTAAAGTTTACAAAATATGATGAGTCGCTTCTTGTAATTTATCATTCCATTCATATTTTTTGGATTCCGATATACAGGATGACTCAAAAAATTTAATGAATGAATGGGCAAATTTATTTTCTTGATTTAATCAGGAACTACAAAACCGAATGCTTTGAAATTTAATGTGAAAAAAAACATAATAGGCATGCAGTCGTCACGTTTCCGATAGCGAGGGAAGTACTGTCTAAATTCTTTAGACCAATTTTTTTGATTTTCCCATTTTTCCATTTCTCAATTTTTCAATGTTTCAGTTTGGGATTTTTTCACTGTTTCGATTCTTTAATTTTCCTTCCATTTTTAGGTTTTTCAATATTTCAGCTTTGGAATTTTGCAATATTTCGTTTCTTCAATTTGTCAAATTTTTGATATTGTGTTTTCCCGGTTTTTAAATTTTTCGATATTTTAATTTTTCAGTTTTTAAAGTTTTAGGTTTTTAGATTTCTCACTATCTCGACTTTTCGATTTTTCAGTTCCATGATTTTTCAATATGTCGAATTTTTAAATTTTAGATTTTTTGTTCTCGATCATTCAATTTTCTGAGTTTTCAGGCTTAGATTTTTTTTGTTGTTCAATTCTTAGATTTTTAAAATTTTTGTTTTTTAAATTTTCCTATTTATCAACTTACTGGGATTTCAATGTTTTGATTTTTTGATTGTTCAATTTCTCGATTTTTTGAATTTTTGGTTTTTGATATGATTTTTTTTCAAAAATTTTCAGTTTTTCAATTTATTGACTTTACGATATTTCAGTTTTACGATTTTTAAATTTTTTTATATTTCAATTTTAAATTTTTAACGTTTCTAAATTTTTCGAGTTTTCAATTTTTCGATTAACTGATTTTTTGATTTTCCCATTTCTCTATTTTTTGATTTTTCAATTCTTTCTTCAATTGTGATTTTTCAATTTTTCGATTTCTGGATTTTTCAATGTTTCAGTTTTGGATTTTTTCACTTTTCCGATTCTTCAATTTTCTTTCCATTTTTCAGTTTTCCAAGATTTCAGTTTTGAATTTTTTCACTTTTTCGATTTTTCAATTTTCCTTCCATTTTTCAGTTTTTCAGTATTTCAGTTCTGAGATTTTGCACTGTTTCGGTTCTTCAATTTTTCCATTTTTTGATGTTTCGATTTCTCGGTTTTTCAATTTTTTTTACGACATATTTTTTTACACATACTTTGTCTAAGACGAGCTTGTTTTATAGACGAACAATATTCTTTTGTTATTAAACCAAGACCGTTTTAATCACAATATATTTACTTATCCCCTCTAAAAAATTGATGACGTCTCACCTCAAAATTTTGCTGAATAAATCCTATCTAAATTGTATAAAATATGATGAGTCTCTTCTTGTGATTTATCATCCCATTCATATTTTTTGGATTCGGATGTATAGGGTGACAAAAAATTTAATGAATGCGCAAATTTATTTTATTGATTTAATCAGGAACTACAAAACCGAATGCTTTGAAATCTAATGTGAAAAAAAAAAACATAATAGGCATGCAGTCGTCAAGTTTCCGATAGCGAGGGAAGTACTGTCTAAACTCTTTAGACCGATTTTTTTAATTATCCCATTTCTCCATTTCTCAATTTTTTCACTGTTTCGATTCTTTAATTTTCCTTCCATTTTTAGGTTTTTCAATATTTCAGCTTTGGAATTTTGCAATATTTCGTTTCTTCAATTTTTCAAATTTTTGATATTGTGTTTTCTCGGTTTTTAAATTGTTCGATATTTTGATTTTTCAGTTTTTAAAGTTTTAGGTTTTTAGATTTCTCAATATCTCGACTTTTCGATTTTTCAGTTCCATGATTTTTCAATATGTCGAATTTTTAAATTTTAGATTTTTTGTTCTCGATCATTCAATTTTCTGGGTTTTCAGGCTTAGATTTTTTTTGTTGTTCAATTCTTGGATTTTCAAAATTTTTGTTTTTTAAATTTTCCTATTTATCAACTTACTGGGATTTCAATGTTTTGATTTTTTGATTGTTCAATTTCTCGATTTTTTGAATTTTTGGTTTTTGATATGATTTTTTTTCAAAAATTTTCAGTTTTTCAATTTATTGACTTTACGATATTTCAGTTTTACGATTTTTAAATTTTTTTATTTTTCAGTTTTCAATTTTTAACGTTTCTAAATTTTTCGAGTTTTCAATTTTTCGATTAACTGATTTTTTGATTTTCCCATTTCTCTATTTTTTGTTTTTACAATTCTTTCTTCAATTGTGATTTTTCAATTTTTCGATTTCTGGATTTTTCAATGTTTCAGTTTTGGACTTTTTCACTTTTCCGATTCTTCAATTTTCTTTCCATTTTTCAGTTTTCCAAGATTTCAGTTTTGAATTTTTTCACTTTTTCGATTTTTCAATTTTCCTTCCATTTTTCAGTTTTTCAGTATTTCAGTTCTGAGATTTTGCAATGTTTCGGTTCTTCAATTTCTCCATTTTTTGATGTTTCGATTTCTCGGTTTTTCAATTTTTTTTACGACATATTTTTTTACGAATACTTTGTCTAAGACGAGCTTGTTTTATAGACGAACAATATTCTTTTGTTATTAAACCAAGACCGTTTTAATCACAATATATTTACTTATCCCCTCTAAAAAATTGATGACGTCACCTCAAAATTTTGCTGAATAAATCCTATCTAAATTGTATAAAATATGATGAGTCTCTTCTTGTGATTTATCATTCCATTCATGTTTTTTGGATTTGCATATACAGGACGACCCCAAAAATTAATGAATGCGTAAATGTATTTTATTGATTTAATCAGGAACTACAGAACCCAATGCTTTGAAATCTTGCAAATGTTTTAAGGTTATAAAGAGCATAATAAATTTTTAGTCCAAATATATTTGCTTATCCCCTCCAAAAAATTGATGACGTCAGCTCAAAAGTTTGCCGTATAATCCTATTTAAAGTTTACAAAACATGATGAGTCTCTTCTTGTAATTTATCATTCCATTCATATTTTTTGGATTCGGATATACAGGGTGACTCAAAAAATTTAATGAATGCGCAAATTTATTTTATTGATTTAATCAGGAACTACAAAACCGAATGCTTTGAAATCTAATGTGAAATTCAGAATTGGAAAGGCAAATTTTCGAATTATAGAATTGGAATTCCTAAATGTAAATTCGGGAGCCCTCAATGTAAACGCAGAATTTCAAATCAATATATTCGGAGTCAGAATTTTGAACTAGAAAGTTGGAACTACTAGTTGTAAATTTGAATTTCAAAGATATTAGGGCAAATTTACTAATTATAAATTTGGAAAAAGTTCAAAGTTCGCAATTCCGTTCCAGAAAGTCAGAATTCAAAGCCATAAAGGTGTTCCGAGTTTAAAGTCCCAGGTTCAAAACAAGAATTCCCAAATAAAAATTAGGAAACGGGGAATTGAAATTCGAAATTATTGCTTGTAAGGTCGGGAGTTGAAGATGTAAAAACTCAGTTATGAGCCCGAAAGCTGGAAATTTTATTTTAAAGTGATCATTTCAAACTATAAACTCTGAAATTTTCTTCCTCTTTTAAGAGTAAAAATTCAAAACTAGAAAGTAGGAACTGCTAGTTATCAAATTGAAATGGAAAAGAAAACATAATAGGCATGCAGTCGTCACGTTTCCGATAGCGAGGGAAGTACTGTCTAAATTCTTTAGACCAATTTTTTTGATTTTCCCATTTTTCCATTTCTCAATTTTTCAATGTTTCAGTTTGGGATTTTTTCACTGTTTCGATTCTTTAATTTTCCTTCCATTTTTAGGTTTTTCAATATTTCAGCCTTGGAATCTTGCAATATTTCGTTTCTTCAATTTGTCAAATTTTTGATATTGTGTTTTCTCGGTTTTTAAATTTTTCGATATTTTAATTTTCAGTTTTTAAAGTTTTAGGTTTTTAGATTTCTCACTATCTCGACTTTTCGATTTTTCAGTTCCATGATTTTTCAATTTGTCGAATTTTTAAATTTTAGATTTTTTGATTTCTTTGCTGTATTGAGTTCTGGATCATTCGATTTTCTGAATTTTCAGGCTTGGATTTTTTTTGTTGTTCAATTCTTGGATTTTTAAAATTCTTGTTTTTTAAATTTTCCTATTCATCAACTTACTGGGATTTCAATGTTTTGATTTTTTGGTTGTTTAATTTCTCGATTTTTTGAATTTTTAGTTTTTGATACGATTTTTTTTTTAAAAATTTTCAGTTTTTCAATTTATTAACTTTACGGTACTTCAGTTTTGCCCGATTTCGATTTCTCAATTTTTCGACATATTACTGTTGGGTTTTTTCAATTTATCGATTCTTCGATTTCTCGATTCTTCATATTTTCGGTTTCTCGAATTTCTTCATTTTCCGATTTCTCAACTTTCCGATGTTTGAGTGTTACGATTTTTAATTTTTTTTATTTTTCAATTTTCTATTTTTGACGTTTCTAAATTTTTCGATTAACTGATTTTTTGAATTTCCCATTTCTCTATTTCTCGATTTTTCAATTCTTTCTTCAATTGTGATTTTTCAATTTTTCCATTTCTGAATTTTTCAATGTTTCAGTTTTGGATTTTTTCACTTTTCCGATTCTTCAATTTTCTTTCCATTTTTCAGTTTTTCAAGATTTCAGTTTTGAATTTTTTCACTTTTTCGATTTTTCAATTTTCCTTCCATTTTTCAGTTTTTCAGTATTTCAGTTCTGAGATTTTGCAATGTTTCGGTTCTTCAATTTTTCCATTTTTTGATGTTTCGATTTCTCGGTTTTTCAATTTTTCGATAGGTATTTTAATTTTTCAATTTTTAAGTCCTACATTTTCCGTTAATTTTTTTGTTTTCCTTGATGTTTTGATTTCTCGATTATTCGATTTTTCAAGTTCTCGGTTTAGATTTTTTGGTTTTCCGATTCTTCGATTTTTAAATTGTTTAATTTTTAGATTGTTCAATTTCTCGATTTTTAGATTTTTCCATTTTTCTGTTTACCGATTTTTTTTTTCATTAAAAATGTTTCAATTTTTCAATTATTAACTTTTCGATTTTTCAATTTTGGTCTAATTTGATTTCTTAATTTTTTGATTTTTTGACTCCTCTACTGTTGATATTTTGATTTCTCCATGTTTCAGTTTTTGAACATTCCGATGTTTCAATTTTTCGACTTTTTGGCTTTTCGAATGCTCAATATTTTGATTTTTGAATTTTAGATTTTTGTTTTTTTTTTATTTTTTGGTGTTTCGATTTCCCAATTCTTCAATTTTTCGATATTTTAATTTTTCAATTTTTAAATTTTGGATTTTTCTTTTCTTTTATTTCTCAATTTTTGGATTTTTTAAATTTTACATTTTTCGATTTTACTATTTTTTGATGCTTGGATTTCTCAATTTTTCAAGTTTTCAATACTCAATTTTTCAGGATTTGAATATTGAGAACTTTTCAATTTCTGGATTTTCAATTTTCAGATATTTTAATTTTTTGATTTTTTTAATGTTTCGATTTTTGGGTGTTTTGATTTTTCGATTTTTAAAGTTTTTGATTTTTCGATTTTTCCGATTTGTTGTCTATTTTAAGTATATTTCATTTTTCAATTTGCGCCTTCTGCGGGAGTATTATTTATTGTGCTGCACTTGTCGGGCGAGGGAAGTTCTGTCGAAATAACCTTCGACCAATTTTTATACTTAGCACTTAGGGTTCTTACTAAGCATTCCTTATTTAACCGAACAGTTATTAATTTAACTAAGCAGCTATTATTTCACCAAGCATATATTATTTTTACTGAGAATTTATTTTTTAACTGAGCATTTATGATTTTTACCGAGCAAAAATACAGAGCGTTTAAAAATAGAACTGTGCATTTAATTTGTTCCCTTATCTAAATAACAAGAAAACGGTATTAATAATACATTTAGGCGAATAAAGTAATAACGGGCTTGATAAGCCTTGTTAGCTCTACAGTGTCTAAATTTTGTTTGAATAATATAATAATTATCTCGAATATTAAAATTAATATGTCAAAAGAATACGAGAAATGATTATTCTGTGCTGAAATTTGTCTCTCGTCTAGCGTTCCCCCTTAACCTCAAAAATTCGCAACAACTGGCTCGTTTTTATAAGTTTACATACTTAACACAGACAATTTACATTTAAATCTAAATTTGTATGTAATTTTCGTGGTGCTTGGTATTTTTCTATTTTGAATTTTAAAAAAATGCCGCCATTTACCCAACGATTTTTTGAGGTTAGGGAATTAATTTTAACACCAAAATGTACTTACGCCCGTTATATTCAGGGATAGCCCAATGGAGACCTCGAAGTCCTGGTTGGGGGTCGGCTCCACGTACATACTCACGGACTCCGAGTCATCCCCGAGATCCAAAGTCGTGGTGATGGTTCCGGCGATGGGTCCCGGTTCCCCCCCATCCAAATACGTGGTAATAAAAACCGTCCATGTGTCACTATCTGCATCTTTGACTGGAGTGGCCACCACGTAATCAATAACCGCATTATCAAAACCCTCCAAATAAACATCTTTCCTATAAGTGGTGTCATTATCTATAAAGGCAAATTTTTATCGACATTACCATATTCCCGTAGAGGCGAACGCCGGTCCCCAGTCCCACGAAAACGACGCCTGCATTTTTCTGACACGATTTGCGTGGCAAATACCGTTGTAACTGGGATCGGGGCACTCCGGAGGAATGACATAGGGGTTGTTTGGGTCTTCGGCCAGCTCCGCCGCTCTAGTGACGGCTGAGGTGAACTGTACGGAGAGTTCATTTTCGCCTACCTGTGTCAAACCAAATCACGTTATAATCACACAACCAGAAAAAACAGTACTTGTAGTTGGTCTTTGATGTTGTAGGTGTAGCGGACGAACATGTTCTCGGATGTGCCAACTTCATTCCCGTTGATGAGAATTGTAGCGAAAGTGTCTAAACCTTCGAAAACCAGAGAGACGACACGGTGAGCTAAGAGTTCTTCTACAACCGTGAATGTTAGGTTGTATGTCCAGTCGCCTTCGCCTACCCAAACGGAGTCCGCGTCCCCCGAGCCGAAGAAGACGTTGTCGAGCACGTCACGGTCCATCAAATTGGAGAAAATACCCCCTGGGACGGTCACCGAGAGTGGAGCCTCTGCAATGGTCACAATTCACACAGATGTGACATCGGCGCCTATAGAATTATAAAACTTAGATGCACCACATACCTAAACCTGGTCCTTCTAGAGTCCATTCCCCTGTCAAGCTCTGCCGCTGCAAAGCGCTACAAAAAGTAGCACTCAGTACAAACAAAACAACACAAACGCTAGCTGCCATCGCTACTGTACCAAATCACCCTAAAACTCCCTTTTATACGTAATCATGATGTACGTGCAGATAATCAAACTCGTTCATCAAAACCGTCGCTGAGTGTTGTTGTCAACAACCACCTTGAGATTCTAGATACGACAGGTACTTAGTAGAAAATAATATATTTTACAACGCGATAAGGACAACTTCGTTAACATTACAAAAATATACCTAACAATCTTCATCAACAGTAACGGTGCTCACTATACACATTTCAAACTTGACAATACCACTGTGATGCTTAAAATTGAACTATAATTTAAACGACTTAAGTATGACACACTTGTAAAAATACTCATTATCACAAATTTAAATTCATACATTTGTTGGTTTCGAGGAGACGCACTTTTTGTAGTGAGACTCGAATTCACTGGCCGTCAAGGAGACGTGATTGCAGAATTGGCAAAGGAATTTTTTTGACGGGCTTTTCCTGGTGGATCTTCTCTCCGGCACCGGGTCTCCGCAGTCGGAGGCGTGCGCCTTTGAGAAAATAGAACAGGTAAGAAGACGAATGGGGAAAAATCGGCATAGTTACCGCTAGTTCGTTGAGGGGGAACATTTTGTTACAGACGGGGCAAGGGCCCTCCTCGGGGGCTGCGGACGTGCTCGGCACAGGCGCCGCATGCTCCTTGGCTTTCGACTTCCCTTTGGGTTTGGCCCGGTCTTCGGGGCTTTTGTTGATGTTGGGGCGCTTTGTGGCCGGGCTTGAAGTGGGGGTGTACTCTACCTTTTGAGCGGCTTTTGTCATCACGCGTTTCTTCGATTCTGAAACTAAGATTTTTGGGTGGGGCGATTTATTTATTACTCAGCAAAATTTTCATATGACGTCACAGAGTTTTGGCAGGACAAGTTTTCTTAAAATAGATCTAAAATTTCGCAACGGTTCGTTCACGATGGTACTTCATTTCAATTTTATCTCGATTTATTTTTAATGGAAAAACAACTTTATTGCCTAAGTCTGGTGATCGAAATGATGAAGCTCTTCAATCTTCTGTTATCTAATCGGTTTAAGGAGGCTCGTAATTGATTAATGAGGACAACATTGTTATTGTTGAGGCCGCTGCACAAAAATAATTTATCAAATAAAATTTAAAACTTCTGATAATCACTCATCAAATTTTAGTATATAAATTAGCTGTTTAACATGCTAAAAATCTTGAAGACTCAGTTTCATAGATGCGGTCGTTATTCCCATTAATTTTTCAATTTTTGAATTCGAGGTTAGAATTACGTTTTAAGTATTATGCTGTTGAAAGTAAACTCTATACATTAAGGAAAAGAAGCCAACGATTAAGCCCCGCCCACCCATCCCTGTCTCAATTGTGATGAATTTTTCATTTATTGTCACTTCGAAGGACGGAGATTAATTACAAAATCCACATTTGTTTAGAAAAAGTTATAATTTTCAACTTATTCATTCAACAATTAAGGAAAACATTGGTCCAAAGTCGTTTCTACAGAACTTCCCTCGCACCTAAAGTACAATGAAACACAAACGTAGTCGTCTTTTCAGAACAAGAAACTTAAAACATATTTGTAATTGTAAATTTGTATAGGGGAATATCGATTTTGCAATTACGCTCCGCCCCTCGGTCTGACAACGAATGAAAAATTCATCACGATTGAGACCGAAACAGATGGGTGTGGCTTTTCTTTTGGTTTTCTTTGTATAACACGATTGCTTAGGAACACGTTTCACTCACTTCTTGGTTTTCGATTTTTTGGTTTTAAAATTTTTCGATTTTTTGACTTCTCGATTTCTCGATATTTTGATGTTTCGGTTTATCAATGTTTATTTTTTGAATTTTTCGATTTTTTGGCTTTTCGATTATCCAATTTTTTTGTTTCGATTTTTCAATTTTTTAAATTTTGGATTTTCGATTTCTTAATTTCTCGATTTTTTGGTGTTTCGATATCTCAATATTTATTTTTTTATTGTTCGGTGTTTCGATTTTTTGATTTCTCGGTTTTTCTATATTCGGCTTTTCGGTTTTCCAATTTTTCGATTTTTCAATTTTTGATTTCCCAATTTTTCGTCATTTCAGTTATGCAATTTTTCAATTTCCCGATTTTTCAGTTCTTTGATATTTCTATTTTCCAATTTTTGGAATTCTCAAATTTTTGACTTTTCATTTTTTTTTATTTTAGGATTTTTTGACGTATCGATTCAACATCTCGGTTTTTCGATTTTCAAATTTGTCGGCTTTTCGATATTTAGATTTCCCGATTTTTTGTTATGTTCTGATTGCTAGATCCTCCGATTTTTTAGACTTTTCGGATTTCGATTTATGAATTTTTGAAATTTTTCAATTTCTCGATTTTTTTAGTTTTTCAATTTGAATTTTGCATTTTCGATTTCTTGATTTCTGCTTTTTGATTTTAAATTTTTGAATTTTACAGTTTTTCGAGTTTTTGATGTTTCGATTTCTCGATTTTTTGGAATTTTTATTAAAAATTTGATTTTTCAATTTTTCGGTTTTAGAATTTGTTTTCATGTTTCGATTTTTTAAATCTTTCGTCTTTTTGATTTCTTGATGTTTCGATTGCTCGATCTTTCCATTTTTGGGTATTTGGATTTTTGATTTTTCGATTTTACGATTTTTTGATGTTTGGATCTTGATCTCGTTTTTTCGATTTTAAAAATTTGTCGACTTTTCGATTTTTAGATTAGTCGATTTTTGAATGTTTCGATTGGTGGATCCTTCGGTTTTCCGACTTTTCGGATTTCGATTATTTCAATTTTTTGAATTTTTAAATTTTTTGATTTTTCGATTTTTTTGATGTCACGATCTCTTGACATTCCAGTTTCTCATTTTTTTTTTAATTTTTAGACTTTTCAATCTTTCAGTTTTTCAATTTTGCGATCTTTAAAATTATTGATTTTTGGATTTTTCAGTTTTTCGATTCTTGAATTTTTCAATTTTTCGGTCTTTTAATTTTTTTGATATCTCACTATTTCAATATTTCGATGTTTCGACTTTTTGTTTTTCGGTTTTTCAATTTTTCGATTTTTAAAAATTTTTGATTTCCCAATTTTTCGTCGTTTCAGTTATGGAATTTTTCGATTTTTCGGCTTTTCGATTTTCCAATTTTTTTGTTTCGATTTTTCAATTTTTTAAATTTCGGATTTTCGAATTCTTAATTTCTCGATTTTTTGATGTTTCGATATATCAATATTTATTTTTTGAGTTTTTCGATTTTCCAATTTTTCGTTATTTTAGTTTTGGAATTTTTCAATTTCTCGATTTTTCAGTTTTTTATTTTGGATTTTCGTTTTCTTGATTTCTCGATATTTTTGTTTCGATTTCTCGATGTTTATTTTTTTATTGTTCGGTGTTTCGATTTTTTGATTTCTCGGTTTTTCTATATTTCGACTTTTCGGTTTTCCAATTTTTCGATGTTTCGATTTTTCAATTTTTGATTTCCCAATTTTTCGTCATTTCAGTTACGTAATTTTTCAATTTCCCGATTTTTCAGTCCTTCGATATTTCTATTTTCCAATTTTTGGAATTCTCAAATTTTTGACTTTTTATTTTTTTTTTATTTTAGGATTTTTTGATGTATCGATTCAACATCTCGGTTTTTCGATTTTTAAAATTTGTCGGCTTTTCGATATTTAGGTTTCCCGATTTTTTGTTGCGTTCTGATTGCTAGATCCTCCGATTTTTTAGATTTTTCGGATTTCGATTTATGAATTGTTGAAATTTTTCAATTTCTGGACTTTTTTAATTTTTCGATTATTTAAATTTTGCATTTTCGATTTCTTGATATTGTCACGTATTGTAATGTGACAATATCTGTTTTTTGATTTTAAATTTTAGATTTTTGAATTTTTCAGTTCTTCGATTTTTTGATGTTTCGATTTCTCAATTTTTCCATTCTTCAATTTGTCGGCTTTTAGATATTTAGATTTCCCGATTTTTTGTTGTGTTCTGATTGCTAGATCCTTTGATTTTTTAGACTTTTCGGATTTCGATTTATGAATTTTTGAAAATTTTCAATTTCTCTATGTTTTTAGTTTTTCAATTTGAATTTTACATTTTCGATTTCTTGATTTCTACTTTTTGATTTTAAATTTTAGATTTTTGAATTTTACAGTTTTTCGAGTTTTTAATGTTTCGATTTCTCAATTTTTCGATTCTTCAATTTTTCTGTTTTAATTTTTCAGGTTTTAATTTTTAGATTTTTCGATTTCTCGATTTTTCTATTTTTCAATTTTTCAATTTTTCGATTTTTAAAATTTGTCGGCTATCGATTTTTAGACTTCTCGATTTTTTGGAATTTTTAAAAATTTGGTTTTGCAATTTTTCGGTTTTAGAATTTGTTTTCATGTTTCGATTTTTTAAATCTTTCGTCTTTTCGATTTCTTGATCATTTCGATTGCTCGATCTTTCCATTTTTGGGTATTTGGATTTTTGATTTTTCGATTTTACGATTTTTTGATGTTTGGATCTTGATCTCGTTTTTTCGATTTTAAAAATTTGTCGACTTTTCGATTTTTAGATTAGTCGATTTTTGAATGTTTCGATTGGTGGATCCTTCGGTTTTCCGACTTTTCGGATTTAGATTATTTCAATTTTTTGAATTTTTAAATTTTTTGATTTTTCGATTTTTTTGATGTCACGATCTCTTGACATTTCAGTTTCTCATTTTTTTAAAACGTTTAGACTTTTCGATCTTTCGGTTTTTCAATTTTTCGATCTTCAAAATTTTGATTTTTGGATTTTTCAGTTTTTCGATTCTTGAATTTTTAAATTTTTCGGTGTTTTAATTTTTTGATATCTCAATATTTCAATATTTCGATTTTTTGTTTTTCGGTTTTCCTATATTTTGCTTTTCGATTTTTCAATTTTTCGATTTTTAACAATTTTTGATTTCCCAATTTTCGTCGTTTCAGTTATGGAATTTTTGGATTTTTCGATTTTTCAATTTTCGATTCCCAATTTTGGTTATTTCAGTTTTGGGATTTTTCAATTTCCCGATTTTTCAATTTTTTAAATTTTGGATTTTCGTTTTCTTGATTTCTCGATATTCTTATGTTTCAATTTCTCAATGTTAATTTTTTTATTGTTCGGTGATTCTTTGATTTCTCGGTTTTTCTATATTTCGGCTTTTCGGTTTTTCAATTTTTCGATTTTTCAATTTTTGATTTCCCAATTTTTGATTTCCCAATTTTTTGTCATTTCAGTTATGTAATTTTTCAATTTTTCGATTTTTCAGACCTTCGATATTTCTATTTTCCAATTTTTGGAATTTTCAAATTTTTGACTGTCCATTTTTTTTTATTTTAGGATTTTTTGATGTTTCGATTCAACATCTCGGTTTTTTGATTTTTAAAATTTGTCGACTTTTCGATATTTAGATTTCCCGATTTTTTTGTTGTGTTGTGATTGCTTCGATTTTTTAGACTTTTCGGATTTCGATTTGTGAATTTTTGAAAATTTTCAATTTCTCGATTTTTTTAATTTTTCAATTATTTAAATTTTGGATTTTCCATTTCTTGATTTCTGTTTTTCGATTTTAAATTTTTCAGTTTTTCGACTTTTTGATGTTTCGATTTTTCAATTTTTCCATGTTTTAAATTTTAGATTTTTCAATGTTTCAGTTCCTCGATTTTCTATTTTTCAATTTTTGGAATTTTAAAATTTTTCGATTTTTAAAATTTCTCGGCTATCGATTTTTAAATTTCTCGATTTTTGAAGTTTTCGATATTTCTCAATTTTTTGGAATTTTTAAAAATTTGATTTTTCAATTTTAGAATTTGTTTTCATGTTTCGATTTTTTGACATCTCGTACTTTCGATTTTTTAAATCTTTAGCCTTTTCGATTTCTCGATTTTAAAAATTCATAAATTTTCAATTTTTCGATATATATTTTGATTTTCGATTTCTTGATGTTTCGATTGCTCGATCTTTCGATGTTTCAGTATTTGGATTTTTGATTTTTAGATTTTACTATTTTTTTATGTTTGGATCTTGATATCTCGTTTTTTCGATTTTAAAAATTTGTCGACTTTTAGATTTTTAGATTAGTCGATTTTTGAATGTTTCGATTGGTGAATCCTCCGGTTTTTCGACTTTTCAGATTTCGATTTTTCAATTTTTGGAATTTTAAAATTTTTTGATTTTTCGATTTTTTTAATGTTTCGATCTCTTGACATTTCAGTTTTTAATTTTTTTTTTAATTTCAGACTTTTCCATCTCCGGATTTCGATCTTTTGGTTTTTCAATTTTTCGATTTTTAAAATTTTTTGATATCACATTATTTCAATATTTCAATGTTTCAATTTTTGGATTGTTCGGATTTCTCGATATTTCCACTTTTCAATTTTTCGATGTTTCAATACTGCGATTTTTGAATTTTCAATTTTTTGATTTTTTGATGTTTCGATCTGACATCTCGGTTTTTTCGATTTTAAAAATTTGACGACTTTTCGACTTTAGATTATTAGATTTTTTGATGTCTCGATTGCCAGATCCTTCAGTTTTTCCACTTTTCAATTTTTGGAATCTTTAAATTTTTCGATTTTTTGACATTTCAATCTTTTGACATTAAATTTTCTCGATTTTGCAAGTTTTCAGTTTCTCAAATTTTCAGCACTTCAATTTTGTGAATATTTCGATTTTTCAAAATTTCGCTTTTGGGATTTTTCAACTCAATTTTTGAAAATTTAAAATTGTTTGATGTTTCGAGCTCTCGACATTTCAGTTTTTCATTTTGTGACTTTTCGATCTTCGGATTGCGATCTTTCGGTTTTTCAATTTTTCGATCTTTAAAATTTTTGATTTTTGGATTTTTCAGTTTTTCGATTCTTGAAATTTTCAATTTTTCGGTTTTTAAAATTTTTTGATATCTCAATATTTCGATGCCTCAATACTGCGATTTTTGATTTTTCAATTTTTCGATTTTACGATTTTTTCATGTTTCAATCTTTCGACATTTGGATTTATCGATTTTGCAAGTTTTCAATTTCTCAAATTTTCAACATTTCAATTTTGGGAATATTTCGATTTTTCTAAATTTAGCTTTTGGGATTTTTCAATACATCGTTCGATTCTTCGATTTTTAAAATTTTCCGATTTTAATTCTTTTTAAATTGCGAATTTTCAATTTCTCTATTCTTGTTTTTCGTTTTTTTAATTTTTAAATTTTAAATTATTTAATTTTCCAGTTTTCAGATTTTTTGACGATTCGATTTTTCTAGTTTGCAATTTTTCGATTCTTCAATTTTTACATATTTTAGAGATAAGAATTATGTTGTTGAAAATAAACTCTACACATTAAGAAAAAGAAGCCAATGATTAAGTAAGTAATAAAAAAAAAATCCGGGACGGCAGACAAACGGACAGACAGACAGACAGACGGAAACGAGAGACCAATTTTTTCGTACTCTAGGGGTAATGAAAGGTCGCGAAGTAAAAATCATCAGAATTGAGATAGGGCGGGTGGGCGGGGCTTATATTTTGCCTTAGAAGAAACTTAGAACACGGTTAAAATGGTAGTTTTTGCAAGGAAATATGGATTTTGCAATTATGGGGCGGAGCCTAATTGCAAAATCGATATTTCCTTATACAAATTTTCCATTTTAAACATGTTTCAAGTTTCACGTTGTGAAAAGAAATCTACACATATTCAAACAAAAAGGCAAAATGTAAGCCCGCCCACCCGCCCTATCTCAATTGTGATGATTTTTTTTATTCGCCGTTAACCAAACTGCAAAATAGTTATTTCTTGACAAGAAATCAAAAACATGTTTATGAGTATCGTGTTGTCTAAGAATACAGTGTATATTAAGAAAAAAAGGCAAAATATAAACCCCGCCCACCCACCCCATCTCGATTGTGATGGATTTTTTTTTATTCTTAGAAACTTAACATACGTTTAAAATGGTAAATTTTTGTAAGAAAATATGGATTTTGCAATTAGGCTCCGCCCCTTTGGCTCTCGACCATTAAAAAAAATCATCACAATTGAGATGGGGTGGGTGGGCGGGGCTTATCCGTTTCAATAATAAAATACCGAAAATATCAAATGGTGAATTCGAGGTTAGAATCATGTTTTAAGTATTATGTCGTTGAAAATAAACTCTACATTAAAGTCAATGTCAATGTCAAATTTCAAATTGAACATGACAATGTGTCAGTGGTACCAACTTACGAAGAAAATGAATTACCCACTAGATATCAACCATTAATGAAAGCCCTTTTCCAACGCAAAAGATTGGAAAAAATTAGAATCAAAATTAAGCGGGAATTTTTACACCAATAAAAACTTTCATTAAGAAAGCAGAGCCACCTCATCACGACTTTAGAAAATAATTACTGGAACACGAGGCTTGTAATTCTATAAATTATTCAATCAATTTGACACGTACTCATCGAAAAACCGACTTTTTGACCAATTGAAATTAAATTCAAGATTGGAGAACAAATCAAATTAGTACCTTCTTTGCTCCCTTTTCTCCCTCTACCTCTCCCTCTCATGGGCAACGGGGGCGACACCCTCTCCCTAACAAAGGTCTCATCGTCGTCCCTGTTTTCCGCAACGGAACTGTCCTCGAAAATACGTTCTTGTTCGAGAATGTCCGCACTGGGCAAAGTTTTTTCCACCTCTTTTGACTGCTGCTGTCCCGTTTCCTCTTTTTCTTCCGTTATTTCGTCCGATTCGGTCCACTTCAGCTCTGACGTGGCTTGGGTGTAAGGGACAAACGGAGATTCATAAGGCATGTTTTCGAACGGATCTTCGCTCTTGTTTTTTTTTTGCGAAAACGAATCGCTCTCACCATCCCTCGTTTCCGTATAGATTTTCCTCTTAGATTGTCGCCCCGAGCGACTAATGTAGATTTCCTGCTCCGGCAAGTTGGGCATTTCTTCCTGGATAATTTTCTTAGGCGAGATGACTGAAGGTATGGGGGCCCTGCGCAGACTCTTCCGCGCCTGTCTCGCTTGCAACTCTTTGATTGCATCAATATGAAAAGCGAGTTGTTTGACCCGCTCTCGAAGACTAGCTGTGGGGTCAACTGCATCGTCGAACATGGGTGGGTGGTACACGATATCCAGAATCATGGTGGGCTTGGTGTCTTCCTCGGTGAAGAAGCACACCGTCGACGTGGCGGGAACCTGCCCCGGCGACTTCGCCCCCTTGCTCCATTGCTTCGGCGAGAAGGGTATGTCGTCGCGAGCGGCACTCGTGCCGGGCTTCGCCGCTCTCTTCAGGATTTCCTCGGCTTGGCGATTAGCCTCTCGTTTTTGTTCCTCTAAACTTGCCGACAGTTTCGAGTTATCAATAGCTTCCTGCAACTCCTGCGTTTCTTTCGCCGTTAGTTCTTCATCTGTGGGCTGCTTTTTACCTGACAACGTGCGAAATTCAAACGTTTGGGGAAAACTCGGCGCGGGACTTACTCAAGTACTCCTTAAAATTATCCTGGAAAGCCATCGGGGCGGCGCGAAACCAACATAAAAATCATCACACAAAAAGTACGAAAAACGCTTGGGTTTTTTTAAGCGCTAAAAATCCATTTGCAAAACATTCGTTTTTAGAGGTTAAGACGGTTAAGAGTGGAGTTTTTTGACAGTTGACAGCTAATAGCGGGAGGTTTTTGTTTATGTTGGGCGAAATTAAAAGTGGGGGGTGTCTTTCGGGGGTAAGCTGGCTAAAATTGAGCCAATTTTTCGACAAGTGGTTTTTCTTGAAGAACGGGACAAAACAAAAATTTTGGCGAAACGCAACTTCTAGCCGCCAATGCAGCGTCAAGCGTCAACTGTCGAATATCAAATCATAGATTAATGTAGATGCGACATAGAGGCTGATTTTGCAAAACCACCCTTATTGACATTGGAAATCGTAATAACCCAAAGGATTTTTTTTTCGGGAAAACGTTTTGGAAACACTCTTCTATTTTGTATGATTTTTTTTTATGTTTTTAGTGACAATTTTTGTGGTTGTTTTCGATACACTGTATGATATTAACAGTGAGAAAAAAAAATAAAAAATCAAAATAATCGAAAAATCGAAACCTTAAAAAATCGTAAAACCGAAACATTGAAAAATCGAAATATCGAAGAACTGAAAATCGAAAAAATGTAAAATTTAAAAATCGAATAAAGAAAAATCGAAACTCCCAAATTTAAAATCTCGATAAATCGAGAAATCAAAAACCTTAAAAATTCGAAAAATTGAAAAATCGAGAGATCGAAAGATCCAAAGAACGAGAAATCGAAAAGTGATGAAGTCGAAAAATCGAAAAATAGAGAAATCGACAAACTAAAAGTGAAAAATTGGAAAAGCGGAAAAATCAAAAACGAAAAAATAGAAAACTGGAAAAAGTGAGAAACCGAAATAGGCCAAAATAAAAAATTGAATAACTGATAAACCGAAAACCTAAACAATCAAATCTCGATAAATCGGGAATGAAAAATTAACAAATCGAAAAACTGAAAAATAGAACATCGAAAAATAGAAAGGTTAAGAAATACTGAAAAATTAAAATATCAAAAGATTGAAAAATCCAAAATTTAAAAATCCAAAAATTGAAAAATCGAAAAAGTAGAAAGGCAGACACATCGAAAAACCCAGAAGTCAAAAATAGAAAAGCCGAAGAATTGAAATATTGAAAAATCCTAAAACTGAAATATCTAAAAACTGAAAAATCGAAAAATCAAAAAAGTGAAGTCGAAAAATAGAAACCTTAAAAAATCGAAAAATTGAAAAATCAAAAACCTGAAAAATCAAAAAATTAAAGAATTGAAGAACAGGAAAATCGAAACATTTGAAGGTCACGAAATGGGAAAATCAAAACATCGATCAATTGAAAAATCGAAAAATTGAGGGTTTTTTAAAAGTCATATTTGAAAAATTAAAAAATCGAAAATTTGACAAAATGACAATTGAAAAACAGAAAATCTAAAACCGGGAAGTCGAAAAATCAAAAGATTAAGAAATCGAAAAATTTGAAAACTCGAAAAATTGAAAAATCGAAAAAGTAAAAAGGTAGACACATCGAAAATCCAGAAGTCAAAAATGGAAAAGTCGAAGAACAGAAATATTGACAAGTCCCAAAACTGAAATATCGAAAAACTGAAAAATGAAAGTATTATTGACGAATCGAAAAACTGAAAAATCCCAAAACTGAAATGTCCAAAAATTGGAAAATTAAAAAATTGAAAAAGTCAGAAATCGAAAAATCAAAAAAGTCAAGTTGAAAAATCGAAACCTGAAAAAATAGAAAAACTGAAAAACCAAAAAACCTGAAAAATCAATTAATTGAAAAATCGGCAAATAAAGGGTTTATAAAAGTCAAAAATTGAAAATTTGAGAGTTTATGAAAGTTAAATTTGAAAAATTAAAAAATCGAAAATTTGACAAAATGACAATTGAACAGAAAATCTAAAACCAGGAAGTCCAAAAATCGAAAGTTTGAGAAATATTGAAAAATTAAAATATCAGAAGATTGGAAAATCTAAAATTTAGAAAGCCAAAAATTGAAAAATCGAAAAAGTAAAAAGGTCGACCCATCGAAAAATCCAGAAGTCAAAAATAGAAAAGCCGAAGAATTGAAATATTGAAAAATCCTAAAACTGAAATATCGAAAAACTGAAAAATGAAAGAAAAACTAAAAATGGGATACTAAATCGGGAAATCAAAACATTGAAAAATCAAAGAATTTAAAAGGACAATTGAAAACAGAAAATATAAAACCGGGAAGTCGAAAAATCGAAAGATTAAGCAATCGAAAAATTGAGAAATCGAAAAAGTAAAAAAATCGACACATCGTAAACTCCAGAAGCCAAAAATCGAAAAGTCGAAGAATCAAAATATTGAAAAATCCCAAAACTGAAAAATGAAAGAAAAACTGAAAAATGGAAAACCTGAAAACGCCGAAACCCAAAATATCCAAAAACTGAGAACCTAAAAAGTCGAAAAATTGACCAATAGAAAAATCCAAAAAGTGGAGTCGAAAAATTGAAACCTTAAAAAAAATAAAAAATAAAAAATCAAAAACCTGAAAAATCGAAAAATTAAAAAATTGAAGAACAGGAAAATCGAAACACTCGAAGGTCAAGAAATGGGGAAATCAAAACATCGATTAATTGAAAAATCGAAAAATTGGGAGTTTATAAAAGTCAAATTTGAAAAATTAAAAAATCGAAAATTTGACAAAATGACAATTGAAAAACAGAAAATCTTAAACCGGGAAGTCGAAAAATCAAAAGATTAAGAAATGGAAACATTTGAAAAATCGAAAACTTGAAAAATTGAAATATCGAAGAACTGAAATGAAAAATCGAGAAATCGAAAAATCTAAAATTTAAAAATCGAAAAGTCGAAGAATCGAAATATTGAAAAATCCCAAAACTGAAAAATGAAAGAAAAACTAAAAATGGGATACTAAATCGGGAAATCAAAACATTGAAAAATCAAAAAATTTAAAACGACAATTGAAAACAGAAAATCTAAAACCGGGAAGTCGAAAAATCGAAAGATCAAGCAATCGAAAAATTGAAAAATCGAAAAAGTAAAAAAATCGACACATCGTAAACTCCAGAAGCCAAAAATTGAAAAGTCGAAGAATCAAAGTATTGAAAAATCCCAAAACTGAAAAATGAAACAAAAACTGAAAAATGGAAAACCTGAAAACTCCGAAAACTGAAATATCCAAAAACTGAGAACCTAAAAAGTCGAAAAATTGAGCAACCGAAAAATCCAAAATTTGAAAAAACGACAATTGAAAAAAAAGAACATCTAAAACTAGGAACTCGAGAAATCGAAAGATTAAGAAATATTTAAAAATTAAAATATCAAAAGATTGAAAAATGTAAAATTTAAAAATCCAAAAATTGAAAAATCGAAAAATTGAGGGTTTATGAACGTTAAATTTGAAAAATTAAAAAACCGAGAAATCGAAAAATCAAAAGATCAATAAATCTTGGAGTCGAAAAGTCGAACAATTGAGAAACCGAAATGGGTCAAAATCGAAAAATCGAAAAGTTAAAAATTGAACAATTTATAAATCGAGAAATTGACAATCAAAATATCGAAAAATCCAAAACTTGATAAATCGAGAAATCAAAAAACTTAAAAATTCGAAAAATTGAAAAATCGGGAGATTGAAAGATCCAAAGAACGAGAAATCGAAAAGTGATGAAGTCGAAAAATCGAAAAATAGAGAAATCGACAAACTAAAAGTTAAAAGTTGAAAAATTGAAAAAGCGGAAAAATCAAAAAACGAAAAAATGGAAAACTGGAAAAACTGAGAAACCGAAATAGGCCAAAATAAAAAACTGAAAAACTGATAAATCGAAAACCTGAACAATCAAATCTCGATAAATCGGGAATGAAAAATTAACAAATCGAAAAACTGAAAAATGGAACATCGAAAAATAGAAAGATTAAGAAATACTGAAAAATTAAAATATCAAAAGATTGAAAAATCCAAAATTTAAAAATCCACAAATTGAAAAATCTAAAAAGTAAAAAGGTAGACACATCGAAAAACCCAGAAGTCAAAAATAGAAAAGTCGAAGAATTGAAAATAAATATTGAAAAATCCTAAAACTGAAATATCTAAAAACTGAAAAATCGAAAAATCAAAAAAGTGAAATTTAAAAATAGAAACCTTAAAAAATCGAAAAATTGAAAAATCAAAAACCTGAAAAATCCAAAAATTAAAGAATTGAAGAACAGGAAAATCGAAACACTCGAAGGTCAAAAAATGGGAAAATCAAAACATCGATTAATTGAAAAATCGAAAAATTGAGAGTTCATAAAAGTCAAATTTGAAAAATTAAAAAATCAAAAATTTTACAAAATGACAATTAAAAAACAGAAAATCTTAAAACGGGAAGTCGAAAAATCAAAAGATTAAGAAATCGAAAAATTTGAAAACTCGAAAAATTGAAAAATCGAAAAAGTAAAAAGGTAGACACATCGAAAATCCAGAAGTCAAAAATGGAAGTCGAAGAACAGAAATATTGACAAGTCCCAAAACTGAAATATCCAAAAACTGAAAAATGAAAGAAAAATTGACGAATCGAAAAACTGAAAAGTCCCAAAACTGAAATGTCCAAAAACTGGAAAATTAAAAAATTGAAAAAGTCAGAAATCGAAAAATCAAAAAAGTGAAGTTGAAAAATCGAAACCTGAAAAAATAGAAAAACTGAAAAACCAAAAAACCTGAAAAATCAATTAATTGAAAAATCGGCAAATAAAGGGTTTATAAAAGTCAAAAATTGAAAATTTGAGAGTTTATGAAAGTTAAATTTGAAAAATTAAAAAATCGAAAATTTGACAAAATGACAATTGAACAGAAAATCTAAAACCAGGAAGTCCAAAAATCGAAAGTTTGAGAAATATTGAAAAATTAAAATATCAGAAGATTGGAAAATCTAAAATTTAGAAAGCCAAAAATTGAAAAATCGAAAAAGTAAAAAGGTCGACCCATCGAAAAATCCAGAAGTCAAAAATAGAAAAGCCGAAGAATTGAAATATTGAAAAATCCTAAAACTGAAATATCGAAAAACTGAAAAATGAAAGAAAAACTAAAAATGGGATACTAAATCGGGAAATCAAAACATTGAAAAATCAAAGAATTTAAAAGGACAATTGAAAACAGAAAATCTAAAACCGGGAAGTCGAAAAATCGGAAAGATTAAGCAATCGAAAAATTGAGAAATCGAAAAAGTAAAAAAATCGACACATTGTAAACTCCAGAAGCCAAAAATCGAAAAGTCGAAGAATCAAAATATTGAAAAATCTCAAAACTGAAAAATGAAAGAAAAACTGAAAAATGGAAAACCTGAAAATGCCGAAAACCAAAATATCCAAAAACTGAGAACCTAAAAAGTCGAAAAATTGAGCAATAGAAAAATCTAAAAAGTGAAGTAGAATAATTGAAACCTTAACAAACTTAAAAAATCAAAAATCAAAAACCTGAAAAATCGAAAAATTAAAGAACTTAAGAACAGGAGTATCGAAATCCTCGAAAGTCAAGAAATGGGAAAATTAAAACATCGATTAATTGAAAAATCGAAAAATTGACAGTTTATAAAATGTCAAATTTGAAAAATTGAAAAATCGAAAAAACGACAATTGAAAAACAGAAAATCTAAAACCGGGAAATCGAAAAATCGATTGATTAAGAAATCAAAACATTTGAAAAATTCGAAAACTCGAAAAATTGAAGTATCGAAGAACTGAAATGAAAAATCGAGAAATCGAAAAATCTAATATTTTAAAAATTAAAAAATCTAAAATTTAAAAATCGAAAGTCAAGAAATGGGAAAATCCAAACATCGATTAATTGAAAAATTGAAAAAGTAAAATAATCGACATATCGAAAAATCCAGGAGTCAAAAATCGAAAAGTCGAAGAATCCAAATACTGAAAAATCTCAAAACTGAAATATCGAAAAACTGAAAAATGAAACAAAAACTGAAAATGGGAAACTAAATCGGGAAATCAAAACACTGAAAAATCAAAAAATTGAAAACGACAATTGAAAACAGAAAATCTAAAACCGGGAAGTCGAAAAATCAAAAGATTAAGCAATCGAAAAATTGAGAAATCGAAAAAGTAAAAAAATCGACACATCGTAAACTCCAGAAGCCAAAAATCGAAAAGTCGAAGAATCAAAATATTGAAAAATCCCAAAACTGAAATATCGAAAAACTGAAAAATGGAAAACCTGAAAAATCCGAAAACTTAAGTATCCAAAAACTGAGAACCTAAAAAGTCGAAAAATTGAGCAATAGAAAAATCCAAAAAGTGAAGTCGAAAAATTGAAACCTTAACAAAATTAAAAAATAAAAAATAAAAGACCGGAAAAATCGAAAAATTAAAGAACTGAGGAACAGGAATATCGAAATCCTCGAAAGTCAAGAAATGGGAAAATTAAAACATCGATTAATTGAAAAATCGAAAAAGTCACAGTTTATAAAATGTCAAATTTAAAAAATTGAAAAATCGAAAAAACGACAATTGAAAAACAGAAAATCTAAAACCGGGAAGTCGAAAAATCGATTGATTAAGAAATCAAAACATTTGAAAATTCGAAAACTCGAAAAATTGAAATATCGAAGAACTGAAATTAAAAAATCTAAAATTTAAAAATCGAAAGTCAAGCAATGGGAAAATCAAAACGTCGATTAATTGAAAAATCGAAAAAGTAAAAAAATCGACATCGAAAAATCTAGGAGTCAAAAATCGAAAAGTCGAAGAATCGAAATATTGAAAAATCCCAAAACGGAAATATCGAAAAACTGAAAAATGAAAGAAAAACTAGAAATGGCATACTAAATCGGGAAACCAAAACATTGAAAAATCAAAAAATTTAAAACGACAATTGAAAACAGAAAATCTAAAACCGGGAAGTCGAAAAATCGAAAGATTAAGCAATCGAAAAATTGAGAAATCGAAAAAGTAAAAAAATCGACACATCGAAAACTCCAGAAGCCAAAAATCGAAAAGTCGAACAATCAAAATATTGAAAAATCCCAAAACTGAAATATCGAAAAACTGAAATATGAAAGAAAAACTGAAAAATGGAAAACCTGAAAACTCCGAAAACTGAAATATCCAAAAACTGAGAACCTATAAAGTCGGAAAATTGAGCAACCGAAAAATCCAAAAAGTGAAGTCGAATATCGAAACTTTAAAAAACTGAAAAATCAAAAATCGAAAAATTAAAGAATTGAAGAACAGGAATATCGAAACCCTCGAAAAACAAAAAATGGGAAAATCAAAACATCGATTATTTGAAAAATCGAAAAATTGAGAGTTTATGAAAGTTAAATTTGAAAAATTAAAAAATCGAAAATTTGACAAAATGACAATTGAAAAACAGAAAATCTAAAACCGGGAAGTCGAAAAATCGATTGATTAAGAAATCAAAACATTTGAAAAATTTGAAAACTTGAAAAACTGAAATATCGAAGAACTGAAATGAAAAATCGAAAAATCGAAAAATCTTAAAATTTTAAATATTGAAAAATTAAAATACCAACAAATTGACAAATCTAAAATTTAAAAATCGAAAAGGTAAAAAATCGACACATCGAAAAATCCAGAAGTCAAAAATGGAAAAGTCGAACAGAAATATTGAAAAATCCCTAAACTGAAATATCGTAAAACTGAAAAATGAAAGAAAAACTAACGAATCGAAAAACTGAAAAATCCCAAAACTGAGAATCTAAAGAATCGAAAAACTGAGAAATCGAAAAATCAAAAAAGTGAAGTCGAAATATCGAAACCTTGAAAAAATAGAAAAATTGAAAAATCAAAAACCTGCAAAAACGTAAGATCGAAAAATTTAATAATAAGTAAACTGAAAAATCCCAAAACTGAAATGTCCAAAAACTGAGAAATTAAAAAATTGAAAAATTGAGAAATCGAAAAATCAAAAAGTGAAGTTGAAAAATCGAAACCTCAAAAAATAGAAAAACTGAAAAATCAAAAAACCTGAAAAATCATTTAATTGAAAAATCGACAAATAAGGAGTTTATAAAAGTCAAAAATTGAAAAATCGTAAAATTGAAGAGAAAAACTGAAAACCGAGAAATTGAAAAATTGAGAAATTGTAAAATCCAAAAATTAAATAATAAATATGAGTAAATACCAAAGTCCCCAAGCTAAAATTTCGAAAAACTGAGAATTCGAAAGTTGAAACAGCAGAAATTATGGTCGAAACCGGTTATGATGTGTATCAGATCACGGATCATGGCTTATAAATCAAGAACGCTTAGAGTCGACATTGGTCTGCCTGCGCTCTGGTCTGTAGATCAAACAAGTTCTCAGACGGCGAACTGTAATTCGTGTGAGCTGAATTAAAGTGAAGGAAACAGTAAGCAGTTTGTAATATTCTGGTAAATCTAGTGTCAATTTGTCGAAAGTAAAACGCGTCGATAAAATATTATGACATTTTTTTCTATTGTAGTTAATTTTATTCCTATTCTTAAGTTTTGTGGATTGATCGTTTAATAAACACTTTATCAAGTTATTTGTGCGTTTTCTGTCTAATCTAAGACACATAGTTGTTGTTAAAAATAAGTATATATTAAAAAAAAGATTCTGCAGGAAAAAGTTAAATTAAGCCCCACCCACCCGTCCCTATCTCAATTGTGACGAATTTTTTATTCGTTGTCATATAGAGGGGCGGAGTTTAATTGCAAAATCCAGATTTTTCTACAAAATTTACTATTATAAACATGTTTTAAGCTTCCTTTGTTTCTTCTCTTCAATTGGGGCAGTACTTTTTTTTATATAAAACTAATAACCGAAATAGAGTCGGGTGGGTGGGCGGGGCTAAATTTAACTTTTTCCTACAGAATCATTTATAAGCTAGCAATAGCCCCGCCAACCCACCCCCTCGTCATTCCAGTAATTACTCTTAATATTGTTCAGTTTTATCTTAGCAAGTTTTAGCCCCGCCCACCCACCCTTTTTTTCTTAGAGGATATGTCATCTGCCAAAGTCGATCTTATCTTAATAAATACTAGACCCGCCCACCCGCCCTCTAGTTTCTTAAAGGCTATGTCATTTACCAAAATCAATCTTATTTCAGCAGATACAAGCCCCGATTTTAACGATTTTATCTCTCTTCAACTGAGATCTACCTTTCATTCGGACTAGAGAAAATGAGTCACTGCAATGGAGCCAAGGTGGGTGGACGGGGTGAATTATACCACGTGTTTCTTTTATTTTATACAGCCCCTGTGAGATTACAAAATTTACTATTATAAAAATGTTTTAAGTTTCCTTTGTTTCTTCTCTTCAGTTGGGGCAGTTTTTATATAAAATTAATAACCGAAATGGAGTCGGGTGGGTGGGCGGGGTTTGTTATTAGTTCTACTGCAGAGCTGTAATTAACTGATCGAAAATAGGCTGTAAAAAAGCTCCAATCGTAACTTTTTGTTGTACTATTTGTTATAATATTTATTTCGGGTGGGTGGGCGGGGCTAAGTATAACTTTTTCCTAGAGAGTTTTTCGTACAATACTCTTAGTATTGTTCAATCCTATCTTAGAAAAAAAATAGACAACGGGTGGCTGGGCGGGGCTAAATTTAACTTTTTTCTACAGAATCCTTTATAAGCTGGCAATAGCCCCGCCCACCCACCCCCTGTTCATTCCAGTGATTACTCTTAATATTGTTCAGTTTTATCTTAGCAAGTTTTAGTTAGAAACAAACACTGTTGCCAATATAAGTCGAGCAGTCCTCAACCGTCATTTAATTTAAACTATGACGCGTCTCTATGTTCTCTGGTCAAATTGTCAAAATCGTGTCTGCCAGCGTCTGCGCATAACCTGCGAAAATGGCTGTGTTTTGAATTGTATAAAACTGTTGCTCCTAGGTTTATTTTGAGTTTTTCGCTTCATAGTTTATGTGTCTGTTAATAATAGTGTATAAGTTTACTAGTTCAAACATTGTAGTTTAAGTTTCAAGTGATTTTATTGTCCCAAAGAGCTCCAACCTCAAAGGGTAAGTATTACAAAATAATGCAACGACTTGCTTTTTTCTCCAACGTGGATACGCAGTACCACATTGTCACATTAAAACGAATATATTACTCCCCGCCAGAGTTAATCATGTCACGTATACACACAAGATTGATCTTTTTTATTTTTTTTTTCATTCGAAAAATTAACCCGTGTTTCAGACATCCCAAAATGGGTAAAAAACGCAAGCGCGAAGATGACGACGAGGAAGACGAGTACGTGGGTTTCTGCCACGGCCTGCAGCAAAATTCCAGGGACGGCGTAGGCAACAGTTCGTACGTCTACTCATCCAGTCGCCGTTTCAAGAGGCCCCGAATCAACCCCAATTTCTACGAACCGGCCACCGTGGAATACAGATACTTAGATAGGAGCGACTTGCCGTACCGAGAGATCGCAAGACTGATTACTAATAGGTCGATCGTCATTGACGACATAGTAGAAGTGCAAAACCCGGTCCTCGAACGGGCCTACAACCAGAAGAAAAGCCAGAGACTGCGCGAGTACGGTAACAGTTTGAAAGAAGAACTCCTCTTTCACGGCACCAAAGGGTCCAACGTCAGTAGCATCTGCAGGTTCAATTTCGACTGGAGATTGACTGGCTCGAATAAAGGCCACAAGTTTGGCAAGGGGATTTGTTTCTCCAGGAACGCCAAATACGCGAGCAGTTATTCGGATAAATCATACTACAAAGTCATGATTGTCGCAAAGGTTTTAATAGCGCGAATTTGTAAAGGGTACCATGATATGTCTATGCCGCCACAAGGATTTGATACAAGTCAGAAGGGCGCAAATGGAATAGTTCTTGTTAAGTATGAGGATAACGAGTTCTATCCTGCGTATATTTTGTATTATCATTTTAACGACGATTACAATTACAGTTATGAGCGCATAAATTGTACTTGTAATCGGTTTAGGTGTTCCCATCACCATGGAGATTACAACAGTGGTCTCTACTATGATTTTTCCAATCACGGTAACTATAACTGGGGCGAATTTTCGGGTTATAATAACTACAGCAACGGTTGGAATTTTAATCAGTATTACAACCAGCGCAATGAATATTTTTATAACAGCCAAAATTATAGTAGCGGCGAGTATTCCCAAGATGGGGAATACCAGACAAGTTCAAACTATTTTTCGTTTAATTGAAACAAGAATGTTACGTCCTTTTTATTATTCGTATGTTTTTTTTAGTTTTATAGTTTTTCATGTTTTTTTTTATATAGATATTATTTTTACGAATTGTTCCTTTTTTTGTAACTGAAACCAAATAAATTTTTTGTAACTTAATTTTTGCAGTACGTTGCTGTTGCCTCTGGTGTAGATTAGAAAATGCGTATTGCGAGACTTAAGTCGTTTGACTTCGACCAGTGGCGTATCACTTGCGTTCAGAAACGGAGCATTTTGTATATATTTTTTAGATTTCGTAGTTCTACCAGAGAACATAGAGAAGCGTCATAGTTTAAATTAAATGACGGTTGAGGACTCCTCGACTTATGTTGGCAACAGTGTTTGTTTCTAACTAGGACTAAAATTAACTACAATAGAAAAAATGTCATAATATTTTTAACGACGATTTTTCGATTTTTTAGATTCGTCAGTTTTTCTTTGATTTTTCAGTTTTTTGGTATTTCAGTTTTGGGATTTTTCAATATTTCTGTTCGACTTTTCCATTTTTGACTTCTGGATTTTTCGATGTGTCGACTTTTTACTTTTTCGATTTTTAAATTTTAGATTTCTCAATTTTTTGGTATTTTAATTTTTCAATATTTAAAATTTTAGATTTTTCGATTTCTTGATTTTTCATTTCAGCTCTTCCATATTTCAATTTTTCAAATATTTCGATTTTTCGACTTCCCGGTTTTAGATTTTCTATTTTTCAATTGTCGTTTTTTCAATTTGACATTTAAACTGTCAATTTTTCGATTTTTCAATTAATCGATGTTTTGATTTTCCCATTTCTTGACTTTCGAGGGTTTCGATATTCCTGTTCTTCAATTCTTTAAGTTTCGATTTTTCGACTTCCCTTTTTGGATTTTTCGATTGCTCAATTTTCGACTTTTCAGGTTCTCAGTTTTTGGATATTTCAGTTTTCGGATTTTTCAGGTTTTCCATTTTTCAGTTTTTCTTTCATTTTTCAGTTTATCGATATCTCAGTGTTGGGATGTTTCAATATTTTGATTCTTCGATTTTTCGATTTTTAATTCCTGGATTTTTCGATGTGACGATTATTTTACTTTTTCGATTTTTCAATTTTAGGTTTTTTATTTTTTTTAATTTTAGATTTTTCGATTCCTCGATTTTTCAGTTCAATTTTTCGATATTTGAATTTTTCAAATGTTTCGATTTCTCGATCTTTTGATTTTTCGACTTCCCGCCTTTAGATTTTCTGTTTTTCAATTGTCATTTTGTCAAATTTTCGATTTTTTAATTTTTCAAATTTAACTTTCATAAACTCTCAATTTTTCAATTTTTGACTTTTATAAACCCTTTATTTGTCGATTTTTCAATTAATTGATTTTTCCGGTTTTTTGGTTTTTCAATTTTTTTATTTTTTCAGGTTTCGATTTTTCAACTTCACTTTTTTGATTTTTCGATTTCTGAATTTTTCAATTTTTTAATTTCTCAGTTTTTGGACATTTCAGTTTTGGGATTTTTCAGTTTACTTATTATTCAATTTTTCGATCTTACGATTTTGCAGGTTTTTGATTTTTCAATTTTTCAATTTTTTCAAGGTTTCGATATTTCGACTTGACTTTTTTGATTTTTCGATTTCTCAATTTTTCGATTCTTTAGATTCTCACTTTTTGGATATTTCAGTTTTTCGATTCGTCAGTTTTTCTTTCATTTTTCAGTTTTTCGTTATTTCAGTTTTGGGATTTTTCAATATTTCTGTTCTTCGACTTTTCCATTTTTGACTTCTGGATTTTTCGATGTGTCGACTTTTTACTTTTTCGGTTTTTAAATTTTAGATTTGTCAATTTGTTGGTATTTTAATTTTTCAATATTTAAAATTTTAGGTTTTTCGATTTCTTGATTTTTCATTTCAGCTCTTCCATATTTCAATTTTTCAACTGTTTGCATTTTTTAATCTTTAGATTTTTCGACTTCCTGGTTTTAGATTTTGTTTTTCAATTGTCATTTTTTCAATTTTTCGATTTTTAAATTCTAGATTTTTCAGTTTTTTGATATTTTAATTTTTCAATATTTAAAATTTTAGATTTTTCAATTTCTCGATTTTTCATTTCAGTTCTTCGATATTTCAGTTTTTCAAGTTTTCGAATTTTTCAAATGTTTTGATTTCTTAATCAATTGATTTTTCGACTTTCCGGTTTTAGATTTTCTGTTTTTCAATTGTCGTTTTTTCAAATTTTTGATTTTTCAATTTTTCAAATTTGACGATTATAAACTGTCAATTTTTCGATTTTTCAATTAATCGATGTTTTGATTTTCCCATTTCTTGACTTTCGAGGGTTTCGATATTCCTGTTCTTCAATTCCTTAATTTTTTGAATTTTCAGGTTTTTGATTTTTTTAAGGTTTCAATTTTTCGACTCCACTTTTTGGATTTTTCTATTGCTCAATTTTTCGACTTTTTAGGTTCTCAGTTTTTGGATATATTTATAAAATTTAGATTTCGGAGTTTTCAGATTTTCCATTTTTCAGTTTTTCTTTCGTTTTTCAGTTTTTCGATATTTCAGTTTTGTGATTTTTCAATATTTCGATTTTTGACTCCTGGATTTTTCGATATGTCGATTTTTTTACTTTTTCGATTTTTCAATTAATCGATATTTTGATTTTCCCATTTCTTGACTTTCGATTTTTAAATTTCAGATTTTTTAATTTTTAAAATTTTAGATTTTTCGATTTCTCGATTTTTCATTTCAGTTCTTCGATATTTCAATTTTTCGAATTTTTCAAATGTTTTGATTTCTTAATCAATCGATTTTTCGACTTCCCGGTTTAAGATTTTCTGTTTTTCAATTGTCGTTTTTTCGATTTTTCAATTTTTCAAATTTGACATTTTATAAACTGTCAATTTTTCGATTTTTCAATTAATCGATGTTTTAATTTTCCCATTTCTTGACTTTCCAGGATTTCGATATTCCTTTTCTTCAGTTTTTTAATTTTTCGATTTTTCAGATTTTTGATTTTTTATTTTTTAATTTTGTTAAGGTTTCAATTTTTCGACTTCACTTTTCGCATTTTTCTATTGCTCAATTTTTCGACTTTTTAGGTTCTCACTTTTTGGATATTTTGGTTTTCGGCGTTTTCAGGTTTTCAATTTTTCAGTGTTTCGATATTTCAGTTTTGGGATTTTTCAATATTTTGATTCTTCGACTTTTCGATTTTTGGCTTCTGGAGTTTACGATGTGTCGATTTCTTCGATTTCTCAATTTTTCGATTGCTTAATCTTTCGATTTTTCGACTTCCTGGTTTTAGATTTTCTGTTTTCAATTGTCGTTTTAAATTTTTCGATTTTTCAATGTTTTGATTTCCCGATTTAGTTTCCCATTTTTAGTTTTTCTTTCATTTTTCAGTTTTTCGATATTTCAGTTTTGAGATTTTTCGATTTCTCGAATTTTCATTTCAGTTCGATATTTCAATTTTTCAAGTTTTCGAATTTTTCAAATGTTTCGATTTCTTAATCTTTTGATTTTTCTACTTCCCGGTTTTAGATTTTCTGTTTTTCAATTGTCATTTTTTCGATTTTTTAATTTCTCAAATTTGACTTTCATAAACTCAATTTTTCGATTTTTCAATTAATCGATGTTTTGATTTTCCTATTTCTTGACCTTCAAGTGTTTCGATTTTCGTGTTCTTCAATTCTTTAATTTTTTGATTTTTCAGGTTTTCGATTTTTCAATATTTGGATTTTTTAAGGTTTCTATTTTTCGATTTCACTTTTTTGATTTTTCGATTTTTCAGTTTTTAGATATTTCAGTTTTAGGATTTTTCAATATTTCAATTCTTCGGTTTTTCTATTTTTGACTTCTGGATTTTTCGATGTGTCTACCTTTTTACTTTTTCGATTTTTCAATATTTGGATTTCTGAATTTTAGATTTTCTAATCTTCTGATATTTTAATTTTTCAATGTTTCTTAATCTTTTGATTTTTCGACTTCCGGTTTTAAATTTTCTGTTTTTCCATTGTCATTTTGTCAAATTTTCGATTTTTTAATTTTTCGAATTTAACTTTTATAAACTCAATTTTTCGATTTTTCATTTAATCGATGTTTTGATTTTCCCATTTCTTGACCTTCGAGTGTTTCGATTTTCCTGTTCTTCAATTCTTTAATTTTTTTAATTTTCAGGTTTTTGATTTTTCAATTTTTCGATTTTTTAGGGTTTCTATTTTCCGACTTCACTTTTTTGATTTTTCGATTTTTCAGTTTTTAGATATTTCAGTTTTAGGATTTTTCAATATTTCAATTCTTCGGCTTTTCTATTTTTGACTTCTGGATTTTTCGATGTGTCTACCTTTTTACTTTTTCGATTTTTCAATTTTTGGATTTCTAAATTTTAGATTTTCCAATCTTCTGATATTGTAATTTTTCAATATTTGTTAATATCAGTTTTTCAATTTTTTATTTTGGCCTATTTCGGTTTCTCAGTTTTTCCAGTTATCCATTTTTTCGTTTTTTGATTTTTCCGCTTTTCCAATTTTTCAACTTTAAACTTTTTGTTTGTCGATTTCTCTATTTTCCGATTTTTCGACTTCATCACTTTTCGATTTCTCGTTCTTTTGACCTTTCAATCTCTCAATTTTTCGAATTTTTAAGTTTTTTGATTTCTCGATTTATCGAGGTTTGGATTTTTCGATATTTTGATTGTCAATTTCTCAATATATAAATTATTCGATTTTGGCCTATTTCGGTTTCTCAATTGTTCGACTTTTCGACTCCACGATTTCTTGATCTTTTGATTTTTCGATTTTCCAGTTTTCCGATGTTTCGATTTTTCAGTTTTCCGATTTTTTAAATTTGGGTCGTCAATAAGGGTCGTTTTGCAAAATCAGCCTGTATGTCGCATCTATATTAATCTATGGTTCTACAAACTGGTATGAATAAACTAACAGAACATTGAAACCAGGAGACTTGTACTATGATTGCCCCCTAAATTTTTAGGACGAGCCGCCACTGCGTTTGACTAGTGTTTCAATTAGAATATAAAATTTACATTTCGCAGGTGAACTGTAATTTTGATTTATAACATATACAAAGCGTTAAAATATTTTTACACTAAAATATCTATCCATTTTTTTGCGAACATTGTGTTGGTAAACCTGTGAATTGCGGACTTTGGAAATCCGGAAATACCAATTATGCAATCCGTGAAAACACAGACTTGTCGCGATAAGTAATTGATCAGTGTTTCTACTTAAGTACGGTAAGTTTTAAGTAGTGTTACTATTTCACAACAAAGAAAAGTTACACCTTAAAATTTTAGATGGATTATTTTGGTTATCCCAGAAAATCTAGATCAGCCCAGTACTCAAGACCCAAAAAATTTCAAACGTCTCCAGTCCCATGCAAATTAAACCCGAACATCGTCAAAACAAAAACCAACGCGAGAAGGGCAGTCACTTACAGAAACGTCCATCCAACTGAAGACACATACAACGACATTTTAAGTTTGATCACAAATCAGACCATAGTAGTTGAAAACTTGGTTCAGATTAATAATCCATATTTAAAAAGTGCTTATGATCTTAAGAAGGAGCAAAAGGTGTCTCAATATGGAAACAAAGTAAGTGAAAAACTTCTGTTTCATGGTACTAGAAAAGAAAACCTTGATAGTATTTGCACTTGGAATTTTAACTGGAGATTTTTTGGCGAAAGCACTGGGCACAAATTCGGGCAAGGTGTGAGCTTTTCTCCAAACGCTATGTACGCCAGTAATTACTCAGATACCAACTGTTACAACAAAGTCATGATTATTGCTAAAGTGTTAATAGCGCAAAAGTGCCAAGGAAACGAAAATATGGTGTTACCTCTGGATGGATGCGACACCAGTCAGAAAAACAATGGCATAGTTATTGTTAAGTACGAAGATCATGAATTTTTGCCACTATACAAGATGTACTACCACATAGCTGAATATTCTGATTCAGAGGAACAGTCTGATGAAGATAGTGAAGAAGAGGAGAGTTGGGATGAAGAGGACGGTAGCGAGTATGAAGAGGAAGAAGATGAAGGTAGTTCTGACGAAGACGAAGAAGAGGAAGATTGTGAAGAAGAATCAGAAGACTATGATGATGAAGAGGACTCTTATGACGAAGAAGACTACTATGATTCTGAAGAGTATTCCTCTGATGATTATTATGAATAAATGACGCTTCAAGGATTATATTAATATCAAATGTTTAATATTTTTGTTTTTTTATTAAATAAAAAATTGTTGACGTAAGACTGACGTATGACGTTGGCACCCCTGTTGTTTTTAAAACGTGCGCCTTAAAAAACTCATCGTGATTGGTTCGCCACAATTAATAGTAAACATAACCTCACTTGTGGCGAGCAACCTTTAAATCGAGTTTTATCCACGACAACAAAATGATGTCTACATCTGAACTAGATGACCATTCCCGTTGCATCATTCACATAGATATAGATTGTTTTTACGCCCAAGTGGAAATGAACAAAGAGCCAAAACTGCGTTCGGTGCCCCTCGGCATCCAACAAAAAAACATCGTAGTTACCAGTAATTACAAAGCCCGTGAGTTCGGTATCAAGAAGTGTATGTTAATAGCAGAAGCCCGAAAGTTGTGTCCTGATCTTGTGTTAGCTAATGGTGAAGACTTGCACGACTATCGACAGACTTCATACCAAGTTACTAACTTGCTGCAGAGGTACTCGGCGCTGGTGGAGCGCTTGGGTTTGGATGAGAATTTCATCGACGTGACGACGTTGGTGAACGAGAAGGTAAAACAAGGGGGCGACTTGAGTGTAGTTGGAAATGTTTTTGGAGAGTCGAGTGAGAGGTGCGATTGTGGGTGTACCAGACGTTTGACACTGTGTACACTAGTGGCTCAAGAAATTAGGGATTTGATTAAGTCCGAACTTAACCTGACGACGTGTGCAGGGGTTGCTCATAATAAATTATTGGCGAAATTGGCAGGATCGCGCCACAAACCGAACCAACAAACTGTCGTTTTCCCCAATAGCGCTCTCGAGTTGATGTTGAGTTTGAGCTCCCTTATGAGTATTCCCGGGATTGGGAGAGCCATGTTCGAACAGCTACACAAATCAGACATCAAGACAGTCGAGGATCTCCAAAATACGGATTTTAAAAAACTTGAAACCGTCACAGGTTCAGACAAAGCTCACTTCATCTACAACTTGAGCTACGGCATTGACAAAACCCCCGTCAAACCCTCAGGTAAACCCCAAAGCATCGGTTTAGAAGACGCTTGTAAGTCGATTTCCGTCGAGACCGAAGTCAAGAAAAAACTCGAACAACTCCTCCACCGCCTCCTCGTACTAGTCACCGAGGACGGCCGCGTCCCCAAAACCATCAAACTAACAGTGCGTAAGTTCGACAAAGACAGCAAAATCAGCCACCGCGAAACCCGCCAATGCAACGTCAACCCGTCCCTCTTCACGTCCAACCAGCCCAACAAAGACGCCAAGATAATGGCCACAGTTATGCATTTATTCAGCAGAATCATCGACCCCAAGAAGCCTTACCACATCACCCTGCTGGGGCTCTCCTTCACGAAGTTCCAGGAGCTCCCGAGGAACTCGATCGCGTCGTTCCTGCGCAAGGACCTGGAGGTCCAGTCGGTCATCAGCATAGAAAACCAGAGCGCGGTCGAGGACGCCTCTTCTTCGGCGCCGTCCACGTCCAACGTGGCCGTGGAGGTGGAGTCGCCGACGCCGTCGCCGAAGAAGCTCAAGCTGTCCTTGGTCAGCAAGAAGCGCTGCTTCCGGGAGTACGAGGACTGCGAGAGCCCGTCGAAGCTGAAGGTCGCCGAGTTGTGTCTGGATTCGGTGCCGTGTCCGCCGGACGCGGATAAAGACGTGTTCAAGGAGCTGCCCTGGGAGGTGCAGAAGGAGCTGTGGGACGACTACAAGAGGAAGAGGCCGAGCGAGATCTTCTGCAGCAGTCAGGTGAAAAAGTCCAAACCCAACACTCTGCTCAATTATTTCATCAGGAACAATTAAATGATTGGAATTAGGATTAATTTTGTATATTTCTAGATGTTTTGAATATAAACTGTGTTAAGACGATGTTTCATTCACGTAAAACCGGCCCCTCCACAACTTGATGACGTCATCGCAAAATTTTGCGAAGCAAAACTCATTGAAATGTACTTTTATAAATATTTATACAGGTGTCCCAAAAAATGTCTGTTTATTGGTTACATCGACGACGTCGTAACCAATATGCTGGGAATTGTTAGATTATTTTTATAAAATATATACAATTTTTTACTTAATATACGTAGTATTCTTGGAACAACTCGAGAAATATGGATTTTAAGCTCCACCCTCTTGACTCACGATGAATAAAAAAAGTCATCACGATTGAGATAGGGTGGGTGGGCGGGGCTTATATTTTGCCTTTTTTCTTAATATTCGTAGTCTTGTTTTCGTAACAAGAAACTTAAAACGTGTTTAAAACAGGAAATATTGGTTTTGTAATTACGCTCCGCCCCCTTGGCTAACGACAAACAAAGAAAAAGCGTCACAACTGAGGCAGGGAGGGTGGGTGGGGCTTGGGTTTTGCATTTTTTTCTTCTTAATATACATTACAATAGGACTTGCTAAGATAGGACTGATTTTGGCAAATCACATACCTTCCAAGAAAATAGAGAGTGGGTGGGTGGGGCTAGTACTTGTTAAGACACGAATTTCCATAGTAACGAGTTAAATTCCTTAATCTACCTTAATGTGCAAAATCAGTTTTTTCTTAGAAAGTACTAACCCCCCCACCCACCCTCTATTTCCTCAGAGGATATGACATTTGCCAAAATCAGTCTTATCTTAGCAAGTACTAGCCCCACCCAACCACCCTCTATTTTCTTGGAAGGTATGTGATCTGCCAAAATCAGTCTTTTCTGAGCAAGTACTATCCCCACCCGCCCACCCATATTTTACCAGAGGATATGTTATTTGCCAAAATAAGACTTATATAAGCAAGCACTAGTAAGTAATACCCTCTGAGAAAATAAAGGGCGAGTGGGTGGAGCTACTACTTGCTAGTATAATCTTATTTTGGCAAATAACATATTCTCTGAGAAAATAAAGGGCGGGTGGGCGGGGCTAGACTTGCTAAGATAAGACTGATTTTGGCAAATCACGTACCTTCCAAGAAAATAGAGGGAGGGTGGGTGGGGCTAGTACTTGCTAAGATAAGGCTTATTTCGGTATATTGTTTTTTCTCCATAACAAGAAACTGAAAACATGTTTACAATGGTAAATTTTATCCCATACACTTCTCTACAAATTTACCCTTTGAAACATGTTTTCAGTTTCTTGTCGTGAAAAGAAAACTACATATATTAAGAAAAAAAAAGGCAAAATACAAAAAACATAATTCTATCCTCGAATTCACCATTTGATAATTTCAGTATTTTATTATAGAAATGGATAAGCCCCGCCCACCCACCCCATCTCAATTGTGATGAATTTTTTTATTCGTCGTGAGACCGAGAGGGCGGACCTTAACTGCAAAATCCTTATTTCTCTACGAGAAATTAAAAACATGTTTTTGAGTATCGTGTTGTCCAAAGAAAACTACGTATATAAAGAAAAAAGGCAAAGGCCCCGCCCACCCGCCCTATCTCAATTGTGATGATTTTTTTGAATCGTCGAGAGCCAAAGGGGCGGAGCCTAATTGCAAAATCCATATTTCCTTACAAAAATTTACCATTTTAAATGTATTTTAAGTTTCTAAGAATAAAAAAATCATCACAATCGAGGTGGGATGGGTGGGCGGGGTTTATATTTTGCCTTTTTTTTTTCTTAATATACATAGTATTTTGCAGTTAAGCTCCGCCCCCTTGGTTCACGGCGAATAAAAAAAATCATCACAATTGAGACAGGGTGGGTGGGCGGGCTTAGATTTTGCCTCTTTGTTTTAATATCGGTAGACTTCTTTTGACAACATGAAAGTTAAAACATGTTTAAAATGGAAAATTTGTATAAGGAAATATCGATTTTGCAATTACGCTGTGCCCCATAATTGCAAAATCCTTATTTCTTTGCAAAAATCTACCATTTTAGCCATGTTCCAAGTTTTTTCTTGTGAAAAGATGTCTATGTATATTTAAAAAAAAGCAAAATATAAACCCCGCCCACCCGCCCTCATTTCAGTTGTGATAACGTTTTTATTCGTTGTGAGTCGAAGGGCGGAGTTTATCCCAAAATGCTTATTTCTCTACAAGAAGCTACTATATGAAGCATGTTTTTAAATAATACGTTGTTGAAAGGAAACTATATATGATAAGGGAAAAAAAATATATATATCATAATTGAGATGGGGGTGGATGGGTGGGGCTTAATCATTGGCTTCTGCACAGAGTTTACTTTCAACAACATAATACTTAAAATATAATTCTAACTTCGAATTCACCATTTGATATTTTCAGTATTTTATTATTGAAATGGATAAGCCCCGCCCACCCACCCCATCTCAATTGTGATGAATTTTTTATTCGTCGTGAGACCGAGAGGGTGGACCTTAACTGCAAAATCCTTATTTCTCTACGAGAAATTAAAAACATGTTTTGAGTATCGTGTTGTCCAAAGAATACTATGTGTATAAAGAAAAAAATAAAGCCAAAGATTAGGCCCCACCCATACACGCCCCCATCTCAATTCTCAATTGTGATGAATTTCTCATTCGTTGTTAGATTGAGGGGCGGGGCTTAATTGCAAGATCAATATTTATCTACTAATCCACTCTTGTTCTGAAAAGACGACTACATATATTAAGAAAAAAGGCAAAATATAAGCCCCGCCCACCCGCCCTGTCTTAACTGTGATGATTTTTTTTAATCGTCGAGAGCCAAAGCGGCGGAGCCTAATTGCAAAATCCATATTTCCTTACAAAAATTTACCATTTTAAATGTATTTCAAGTTTCTAAGAATAAAAAAAAATCACAATCGAGATGGGGTGGGTGGGCGGGGTTTATATTTTACTTTTTTTCTTAACATACATAGTATTCCTTGAACAACACGATACTCAAAAACATGTTTTAATTACTTGTGAAGAAACAAATATTTTGCAATTAAGCTCCACCCTCTTGGCTCACAGTGAATAAAAAAATCATCACAATTGGGGTAGGGCGGGTGGGCGGGCTTAGATTTTGCCTTTTTGTTTTAATATCTGTAGACTTCTTTTCACAACATGAAACTTAAAACATGTTTAAAATGGAAAATTTGTATAAGGAAATATCGATTTCCTTGCAAAAATCTACCATTTTAACCATGTTCTAAGTGTCTTCTTGTGAAACGATGGCTATGTTTAAAAAATTTAAAAAAAGGCAAAATATAAGCCCCGCCCACCCACCCCATCTCAATTGTGATGAATTTTTTTATTTGTCGTGAGACCGAGGGGGTGGACCTTAACTGCAAAATCCTTATTGCTCCGATTAATCAACTTTTGGAATTTGGGAATTTTTGTGTTTTCAGGATTTGAGAATTCAAGTGTTTTGAGAATTTGTGGATTTTAACGTTATGATGATTTGAGGATTTTTGGATTTTTCATCAGGTTTGTGATTTTTCGAATCCCATTTTTTGACTTTTCGATTTCTCGTTTTTTCGTTTTTTTGATTTTTAAATTTTTCGATTTCTCACTTTTTTGAGGCTTCAGTTTTACGATTTTTCAATTTTTCAATTTTTGACCTTTTAAATTTTGGAATTTTCGATTCCTTAATTTGTCGATTAATCGACTTTTTGGGTTTTCTTCTTGACGTCTGGCTTTTTCGATTTTTCAGGTTTATGATTTTTCAATTTTTCGATTTTTTAAGTCTTGATTTTTCGGCTTCCATTTTTCGATTTTTCGATTTCTCGATTTCTGAATTTTTCGATGTTTCAGTTTTGGGATTTTTTTCTTCAGTCTTTCCATTTCCCGACTCTTCAAATTTTCGACGTTTCATTTTAGACATGTTTTAAATTTCTTATTGTCAAAATAAGTCTATACATATTAAGAAAAACAAAGGCAAAATGTAGCCCCACCCACCTACCATATCTCAATTGTGATGATTTTCTTTTATTCGTCGTGAGCCAAGGGGGCGGAGCTTAGCTGCACACTCCTCATTTCTCCACGAGAAATTAAAAACATGTTTTTGAGTATCGTGTTGTCCAAAAAATACTACGTAAATAAAGAAAAAAAAAAAAATTCAAAGGCTAGGCCCCACCCATACCCGCCCCGATCTCAATTCTCAATTGTGATGAATTTTTCATTCGTTGTCAGCTGAGGGGCGGAGCTTAATTGCAAAATCCATATGTACCTACAAGAATTTACGACATTTAGTATGTTTTGAGTTTGTTGTTCTGAAAAGACGACTACGTATAATAAGAAAAAAGGCAAAATATAAGCCCCGCCCACCCGCCCTATCTCAATTGTGATGATTTTTTTTAATAGTCGAGAGCCAAAGGGGCGGAGCCTAATTGCAAAATCCATATTTCCTTACAACAGTTTACCATTTTAAACGTATTTTAAGTTTCTAAGAATAAAAAAATCATCACAATCGAGATTGGGTGGGTGGGCGGGGTTTATATTTTACCTTTTTTTCTTAATATAAATGATATTCTTTGAACAACACGATACTCAAAAACATTTTTAATTACTTGTAAAGAAACAAGTATTTTGCAGTTAAGCTCCGCCCTCTTGGCTCACAGCGAATAAAAAAAATCATCACAATTGGGATAGGGTGGGTGGGCGGGCTTAGATTTTTCCTGTTTGTTTTAATATCTGTAGACTTCTTTTCACAACATGAAACTTAGAACATGTTTAAAATGGAAAATTTGTACAAGGAAATATCGATTTCTTTGCAAAAATCTACCATTTTAACCATGTTGTAAGTTTCTTCTTGTGAAAAGATGGCTGTGTATATTTAAAAAAAAGGCAAATAATAAGCCCCGCCCACCCACCCCATCTCAATTGTGATGAATTTTTTTATTCGTCGTGAGACCGAGGGGGTGGACCTTAAGTGCAAAATACTTATAACTCTACGATATATTAAAAACATGTTTTTGAGTTTCGTGTTGTCTAAAAAATACTACGTATATAAAGAAAAAAATAAATTCAAAGATTAGGCCCCACCCATACCCATCCCGATCTCAATTCTCAATTGTGATGAATTTTTTATTCGTTGTCAGTTGAGGGGCGGGGCTTAATTGCAAGATCCATATTTATCTATAAGAATTTACCACTTTTAACATTTTTTAAGTTTGTTATTCTGAAAAGACGACTACGTATAATAAGAAAAAAGGCAAAATATAAGCCCCGCCCACCCGCCCTATCCCAATTGTGATGATTTTTTTTAATCGTCGAGAGCCAAAGGGGCGGAGCCTAATTGCAAAATCCATATTTCCTTACAAAAATTTGCCATTTTAAAAGTATTTTAGGTTTCTAGGAATAAAAAAAAATCACCACAATCGAGATGGGGTGGGTGGGCGGGGTTTATATTTTGCCTTTTTTTTCTTAATATACATAGTATTCCTTGAACAACACGATACTCAAAAACATTTTTAATTATTTGTAAAGAAACAAGTATTTTGCAGTTAAGCTCCGCCCCCTTGGTTCACAGCGAATAAAAAAAAATCATCACAATTGGGGTAGGGTGGGTGGGCGGGTTTAGATTTTGCCTCTTTGTTTTAATATCTGTAGACCTCTTTTGACAACATGAAACTTAAAACATGTTTAAAATGGAAAATTTGTATAAGGAAATATCGATTTCCTTGCAAAAATTTACCATTTTAACCATGTTCTAAGTTTCTTCTTGTGAAAAGATGGCTATGTACATTTAAAAAAAGGCAAAATATAAGCCCCGCCCACCCACCCCATCTCAATTGTGATGAATTTTTTTATTCGTCGTGAGACCGAGGGGTGGAGCTTAACCGCAAAGTCCATTATTCTGTACGGAGTGAAATATATTTGAAGCATTACAACGACGAGAAAACCTGAATGTGCTCACTGCGCTCGTATTCTAGGGGTGAGTTTCCGAAAATCTACAAAATTATAATATAAATGATCCCAAACAATTTCGCTAAAACAACTTTCGACCAATTTTTATTCATGGACTAAATTGACAAATTGAATTTGTACATAGCAAGCTGATCAGATTATCACAGTAATTAACAATAAGTTGCTTATATAAATTTATATAATTCTTTTAGACCTAATAATTATTTAAAATAATAAATATAGATTATAAAAATAAAATACCATACAAATCGTCATAAAAATTAGTCAAGGTATGAAACATCGTAAAGGTCATCAAAAAACGACATTCCTCCTGACAAATTCTGTCTCCCCCTCTTGGCTTGTTTCTTCTTAAATCCCGGCCCCTTCCCCACACTCTCATCCCTCACATGATACTTAATTTTATAAACGGGACAGAACTCGTTGTCTTCAAACTTCACAATAACAATCCCGTCGAACCCCTTCTGACTAGTATCAAACCCCTCTGGAGGCACCACCATCCCCTTATCCCCAATGCAACTATTCCCAATCAGAACCTTCGCCACAATCATCACCTTATTAAACAGCCCCTCGTCCGAATACACCGAGGCGTAAGTCGAGTTCGGCGAAAAACTGACGCCTTTCCCGTACTTGTGCGTCTGGCACCGCCTCCAGTTGAAGTTCATCCGACAAATCGCGTCAACGTTCGCCCTCTTGGTACCATGGAACAGCAGCCGCTCCTCCACGCCCACGAACTGCGTCTCTTTTTGGTGTTTTTTCAGCTCGAACGCCTTCTCCAAGTAGGGGTTCTCGATTTTCTCGATGCTGTCCACCTTGAAGTTTTTCTTGTTGGTGATCATTCTGGTGACTTGTAGGTATTCGGGGTGGTAGGGCTCCAGTTGGACGTAGGTGACGATTCGAGGCGAGTCGACGAGTAGCTGGTTTCTGGAGGAGCGTTTCGGGCCTTCGATGCGTCTGGAGGGTTGACTGATTTGGAGGGATTGCAATCTTCTGGTGGCGCCTGCGAAGTCGTCGCGGGTGCTTGCGGGTTGGACTCTGTTGTAGCTGGGGGTTCGTATAGGGGATGATTCGTAAATGAAATTTCGGGTGGGTTCGGCGAACTGGTCGTGGTAGTACGTACGTTGAGGTTGGACTCGGTAGGATGATTCGTAGTTGAAGTTTGGGGTGGGTTGTGGGGGTTCTTCTTTTGACGAGAAGATTCCCATCGTGGGTGTCTGTTAATTACACGTGCAAATTTTATTCGAGGTGGTCAGATAACTTACGAATTTGTGAAATTAGGTCGCAGAGGTTAACAACGATCACAAGGCACGACTGCTGCGTCAGTTACGTGGGGGAAGTCCCGGAGCACGTGGTTACTTACACCTACTGCGCATTTGATCTACGCGGATCAATGACGAGGAACGAATGAACTAATGCAATTATGCAACTGGTTGGTAAATGGCTGTCGCTAATTTTACTTCGGACAAAACAATGAGTGGCGTACTTACCCGTATGAATTTCCTGTTTTCAGTAACGTACAGTACGAAGATCAATGTTGAACTGATACAGAACACGACGATAATGTTAATAAAGTAAATATGCACTTCCGATGACTTGAAATAGATAAAACGTAAGTATAAACCATAATAGCGTGACGAGTTTTCCAACATAGGCAGTGGCGTAACACAGAAATTTTCGTTGTCCACATTTTCTGTTAATTTTTGTTGTACCCTATAAAATTTTATTGACAATAACGGGGCGGACAGTAGTTATATATAGATATTTTTTTCATAAATGTCGCAAAATTATTAAATTTGTCTAATCATCCCCACCAATAATGTGATGACGTCACTTCAAATTTATGCATAGTAAATGGGTTTTAAATTGTATACAGTAACATAGTCCTACACATGTAGTTTATGACTCCGTGTTGAGTTTTTATCCGAAACGTCCAGATTTTTGGAAAAAAAATCAAAATTATAAAACAATATTTTGCAATTTAATTTTGAATTTGCAAAATCGAATACTTTGAAATCTTGCAGATGTTTTAAAATCATGATAAACATGATACATTTTTAATTAAAATATATTTGCTTATCCCCTCTAAAAAATTTATGACGTCACCTCAAAATTTTGCAGAATAAATCCTATCTTAAATGTATAAAATATGACGAGTTTTATACTTGTGATTTATCACTGCATTAATATTTTTTAGATTTGGTTATACAGGGTGTCTCAAAAAAGTTAATGACTGATTCAATTTATTTTATTGAAGAAATCAAGAATAGCAAAACTGAATACTTTGAATTATTGTAGATGTTTTGAAGTTTTTGTAAGCAACAATATTTGATTAATCAAATATGCGCAAAATCAAAAATCGGAAAAACTGAAATTCACTAATGCAAAAAACAGAAAATCGAAAAATACAAATCGTAAAAATCGAAAATCTAAAAATGGCTAATCAAAAAATCGAAAATTCAATGAATCAAATGCCTAGGTCGATTAAAAAATCGGAAATTAAATTAATCAAAATATATAAAGTAAAAAAATTGCAAAGCCAAAAAACTGAAACGAACAGAAAAATCGAAAAAGCAAAAAATTGGAAAAACAAAAATTCGAAAAATCTAAAATCGAAAAAGTGGAAAATCGAAAATCTGAATAAAGAAACTCGGAAATTCTGAAAATTGGAAAATCGAAAACCAAAAAATCGGGAAGTAACAAAATTGAAGTCTAACAGTTGAGAATGGAAAAATTGAAAAACCGAAAATTCTAAAAATCGACACTGGACAAATTGAAAATCGCAAAATTTAAATTGAAAAATTGAACATAGAAAAATCGATGAATTGAAAAATCGAAAATTCGACTACTCAAATTTTCTAAAAATCGAAAAATCATAAAACTGAAAAATCCAAAATTCTAATCATCGAAAGTCTGAAAACTGAAAAGCGGAAAATAGAATAACGAAAAATTTAAAAGAAAGAAAATTGAAGTCTAAAAACCGAAGAATGGAAAAATTAAAAATCAAAAATTCGAAAAATCAAAACCGAAAAATTCAAAGATTTAAAAAGAAAATCGAAAAATCAAAAATGTGAAAATTGAAATTCGAAAATTTGGAAAATCGAAAAGTAAAAAAATTGAAGTCTAAAAGCTGAAAAATGGAAAACTGAACAATCGAAAATTCGAAAATCAAATACCTAAAAATCGAAAAGCCGAAAAATCGAAAATTTGATAAATCAGATATGCGAAAAACAGAAAATCTGAAAATACAAAACTGGAAAATCAAAAATCAAAAAATGGAAAAACCGAAAATCGAAAATTCAATGAATCAAATGCCTAGGTCGATCGAAAAGTGGAAATTCACAAACCTCAAAAATTGAAAAATCGAAAATTGAAAAACGGGAATACCAAAAAATCGAAAAGTCAAAAATTTGTAATATTGAAAATTAAAAAAATCAAAAACAAAAATTAAAAAATCGGAAATTAAATTAATCAAAATATATAAAGTAAAAAAAATTGCAAAGCCTAAAAACTGAAACGAACAGAAAAATCGAAAAAGCAAAAAATTGGAAAAACAAATTCGAAAAATCTAAAATCGAAAAAGTGGAAAATCGAAAATCTGAATAAAGAAACTTGGAAATTCTGAAAATTGGAAAATCGAAAACCAAAAAATCGGAAAGTAACAAAATTGAAGTCTAACAGTTGAGAATGGAAAAATTGAAAAACCGAAAATTCTAAAAATCGACAATGGACAAACTGAAAATCGCAAAATTTAAATTGAAAAATTGAACATAGAAAAATCGATGAATTGAAAAATCGAAAATTTTCTAAAAATCGAAAAATCATAAAACTGAAAAATCCAAAATTCTAATCATCGAAAGTCTGAAAACTGAAAATCGAAAATTCTGAAAAGCGGAAAATAGAATAACGAAAAATTTAAAAGAAAGAAAATTGAAGTCTAAAAACCGAAGAATGGAAAAATTAAAAATCAAAAATTCAAAAAATCAAAACCGAAAAATTCAAAGATTTAAAAAGAAAATCGAAAAATCAAAAATCTGAAAATTGAAACTCGAAAATTTGGAAAATCGGAAAGTAAAAAAATTGAAGTCTAAAAGCTGAAAAATGGAAAACTGAACAATCGAAAATTCGAAAATCAAATATCGAAAAATCGAAAATTTGATAAATCAGATATGCGAAAAACAGAAAATTTGAAAATACAAAACTGGAAAATCAAAAATCTAAAAATGGAAAAACCGAAAATCGAAAATTCAATGAATCAAATGCCTAGGTCGATCGAAAAGTGGAAACTCACAAACCTCAAAAATCGAAAAATCGAAAATTGAAAAACGGGAAAACCAAAAAATCGAAAAGTCAAAAATTTGTAATATTGAAAATTAAAAAAATCAAAAAAAAATTAAAAAATCGGAAATTAAATTAATCAAAATATATAAAGTAAAAAAAATTGCAAAGCCTAAAAACTGAAACGAACAGAAAAATCGAAAAAGCAAAAAATTGGAAAAACAAAAATTCGAAAAATCTAAAATCGAAAAAGTGGAAAATCGAAAATCTGAATAAAGAAACTTGGAAATTCTGAAAATTGGAAAATCGAAAACCAAAAATTCGGAAAGTAACAAAATTGAAGTCTAACAGTTGAGAATGGAAAAATTGAAAAACCGAAAATTCTAAAAATTGACAATGGACAAATTGAAAATCGCAAAATTTAAATTGAAAAATTGAACATAGAAAAATCGATGAATTGAAAAATCGAAAAATCATAAAACTGAAAAATCCAAAATTCTAATCATCGAAAGTCTGAAAACTGAAAATCTAAAATTCTGAAAAGCGGAAAATAGAATAACGAAAAATTGAAAAGAAAGACAATTGAAGTCTAAAAACCGAAGAATGGAAAAATTAAAAATCAAAAATTCGAAAAATCAAAACCGAAAAATTCAAAGATTTAAAAAGAAAATCGAAAAATCAAAAATCTGAAAATTGAAACTCGAAAATTTGGAAAATCGAAAAGCTGAAAAATGGAAAACTGAACAATCGAAAAGCCGAAAAATCGAAAATTTGATAAATCAGATATGCGAAAAACAGAAAATCTGAAAATACAAAACTGGAAAATCAAAAATCTAAAAATGGAAAAACCGAAAATCGAAAATTCAATGAATATAATACGTAGGTCGATCGAAAAATTGGAAATTCACAAATCTGAAAAATCGAAAATTTGCAAGATTGAAAAACAGAGAATTGAAAAATCAAAAAACCGAAAAATGGAAAAATCAAAAATCGAAAAATAGGAAAACCGAAAATTCGAAAATTCATCATATTGAAAACTCTAAAAGTCGACAATTCAAAAATCAAAAAACCTGAAAAAATAATCGAAAAATCGAAATGTAAACAAATTTCCAAGCCTAAAAACTGACGAACAGAAAAATCGAAAAATCGTAAAATCAAAAAGTGGAAAATCGAAAACTGGAAATTGAAAAATCGAAGATTGGAAAATCGAAAAATCGAAAATCGGAATATCGAGAATCGACAAATTAAAAAACCGAAAAATCGAAAAATCGGAAATCGAATAATCCGAAACTAAAATAATAGAAAAGTGGAAAAGTAAAAATTGCAATGTCTCAAAACTGACGAACAGAACAATCGAAAAATAAAAAAAAATCGAAAAATATCTAAACATGGAAAATCGGAAAATGGAAAAACCGAAAAATCGAAAACTCGAAAATTCGATGAAACAAATACTCGAAAAAGCGAAAAGTTAAAAAATTGCAAGGCCTGAAAATTGAAAAATCAAAAAATCGAAAAAATGAAAATCGAAAAAACGACGATTGAAAAAAATCAAAAAATCGAAAAGTGGAAAATCGGACAGTAACAAAATTGAAGTCTAACAGTTGAGAATGGAAAAATTGAAAAACCGAAAATTCTAAAAATCGACAATGGACAAATTCAAAATCGCAAAATTTAAATTGAACAAAGAAAAATCGATGAATTGAAAAATCGAAAATTCGACTACTCAAATTTTCTAAAAATCGAAAAATCATAAAACTGAAAAATCCAAAATTCTAATCATCGAAAGTCTGAAAACTGAAAAGCGGAAAATAGAATAACGAAAAATTTAAAAGAAAGAAAATTGAAGTCTAAAAACCGAAGAATGGAAAAATTAAAAATCAAAAATTCGAAAAATCAAAACCGAAAAATTCAAAGATTTAAAAAGAAAATCGAAAAATCAAAAATCTGAAAATTGAAACTCGAAAATTTGGAAAATCGAAAAGTAAAAAATTGAAGTCTAAAAGCTGAAAAATGGAAAACTGAACAATCGAAAATTCGAAAATCAAATATCGAAAAATCGAAAAGCCGAAAAATCTTTGCGAAAAACAGAAAATCTGAAAATACAAAACTGGAAAATCAAAAATCTAAAAATGGAAAAACCGAAAATCGAAAATTCAATGAATATAATACGTAGGTCGATCGAAAAATTGGAAATTCACAAATCTGAAAAATCGAAAATTTGCAAGATTGAAAAACAGAGAATTGAAAAATCAAAAAACCGAAAAATGGAAAAATCAAAAATCGAAAAATAGGAAAACCGAAAATTCATAATATTGAAAACTCTAAAAGTCGACAATTCAAAAATCAAAAAACCTGAAAAAAATAATCGAAAAATCGAAATGTAAACAAATTGCAAAGCCTAAAAACTGACGAACAGAAAAATCGAAAAATCGTAAAATCAAAAAGTGGAAAATCGAAAACTGGAAATTGAAAAATCGAAGATTGGAAAATCGAAAAATCGAAAATCGGAATATCGAGAATCGACAAATTAAAAAACCGAAAAATCGAAAAATTAAAAAATCGGAAATCGAAAAATGAAAAAAAAACGAAAATTCAAAAATTGAATAATCCGAAACTAAAATAATAGAAAAGTGGAAAAGTAAAAATTGCAATGTCTCAAAACTGACGAACAGAACAATCGAAAAATAAAAAAAATCGAAAAATATCTAAACATGGAAAATCGAAAAATCGAAAATCGGAAAATGGAAAAATCGAAAAATCGAAACTCGAAAACTCGAAAATTCGATGAAACAAATACTCGAAAAAGCGAAAAGTAAAAAAATTGCAAGGCCTAAAAATTGAAAAATCAAAAAATCGAAAAAATGAAAATCGAAAAAACCACGATCGAAAAAAAATCAAAAAATCTAAAAGTGGAAAATCGGAAAGTAACAAAATTGAAATCTAAAAGCTGCAAATTGCAGAACCATAAAAACTGGAACAAACAGAAAAATCGAAAAAACAACAAAAGCGGAAAAACGAAAATCGAAAAATCGTAAAATCAGAAAATGAAAAATCGAATAATCGAAAGTTGAAAAATCGAAGGTCGAAAAATAAAACAACCGAAAAATCGAAAAATTTTATGATTAATGGAAAATCGAAAAATCGAGAATAGAATAATTAAAAAACCGGAAAATTGAAAAATCGGAAATCGAAGAATTAAACACGTAAAATCGAGAATTCAAAAATCAAAAAAATCGGAAAGTAAAATATAATCGAAAAATGCAAAAAAATTGCAAAGTCTAAAAACTGACGAACAGAAAAATCAAAAAATCTAAAAATGGAAAGACGAAAAATCGAAAATTGAAAGAATGGCAAATTAAAAAATTTATATCATAATCTGAAATAACGACATGATCATTATTGATGTATTTTTTTGTTGCTCTTTTTTACCACTTTTTTAATTGCTTTTTTTCACCTTTTTTGCAGCCTTTGTTTCCATTTTCTTGACTCTTCTGTCTATTTTGTGGTTACTTTTTTGTCCCCCTTGTTTTTTCCGTTTGTTGACTCCTTTTTTTCTTGCATTCTCTTTTTTTTGTAATTTTGTGAACTCCCGTTTTTAGTTGCATTTTTTATATTCCCTTTTTGGCAGCTTGTTTCTTGTCCTCTTTTTTAATCCCCTTTTTTGTGTTTTTTTTAATGTTGTTTTGTTGCTTTTTTGTTCCTTTTTTAAATCGTCTTCTTTGTTGCTTTTTTTGTCCTACTCTTTTTTACGTCTTTTTTTATCTTTTTTGTCCCATTTTTGTGGTCTTGTTTCTATCGCTTTCTTGACTTTCTTTTGCACTTTCATTCTTTTTTTATCATTTTCTGGACTACCTTTTATAGTTGCAATTTTTGTCGTGTCGTGTTCTTAGGAAAATGGTTTTCGGTTTAATTATCATATCTTAATAGTTATCATATTTAAACATTGTAAATAATATTAATTATATTTAAATATTATTTAATTATATCGTGAAAATTTATAACTTTGATAGACCAACTTTAATCGTTTTGAAAATTTCCCCAAAATTTAAACTTTGTCGAGGAAACCAATCACGGAACCTGATAAATTAAAACTGTTAGATTAGAAATTCGTGAAATTGCTCTACTTTTACGCCAAAAGGACGCGATGATCTTGTCGCCCTCGAACAAAAATTAAAACTGAACACGAAGGACCGAAAAACGTGACCTTGGGACAGATAGCTCACGTGACAGTGACGTCATCGCACGTCACGATGAGATTGCAAAAATTATTTTTCATATTTTGGCCGCGAAATTAGACATTTTCAGGATTAACTTAACAATATTTAAACAAATTGTTTTGTTTTTAATATCATCGTGTATTTAGTAAAACGGTTTTCGGTTTGATTATAATATATTAATAGTTACTTACCATATTTCAACATTATAAATAATATCAATTTTGTCTAAATTTTATTTAATTATATCGTGAAAATGTATAGCTTTGACCGATCAACTTCAACCGTTTCGAATTTTTTTCCAAAATGTAAACATTGTCGAGTAAACGAATCATGGAACCCGATAAATTAATACTGAAGTCGTACTTTCGTGACCCTCTTTTGGTCCTCTTTTTTGGAGATTTTTTTATTTGTCGATTTTTGTACGTTTTTTCTCGCTTTCTTAACTATTTCTTCCATTTTTTTGTATTTTTTGTCCTATTTTGGTAATATTTTTGTCCCCTTTTTTTTAATCGCATCGGTCATCTTTTTGTTGGTTTTTTGCCCCCCTTGCCTCCTTTGTCTTTTTTTCTCGCAATCTTTTTTGTCCCTTTTTTGACAGTTTTTTTGTTTTTTTTTTTTAATAGTTGTGATTTAAACTCGCAACTTAACAAAAAATCTCTGGAATAATAATTCGACCTTGTATGAACAATATTGTTAAAGAAGTTATTACCTGTGTGGGAAAATCTATAAACAAAACACTTCAAAAAGTAAGTGCCTACTTCCAGGGAAAGTGACACGTCATGATTTTCCTTTTGTATTAAAATAGTGATACATTTTCCAAGTATGCATTCTGCGTTGAAGTTTCACGAGAATTTATCTCATCCTCATGTGGTGAATCTTCAAAATAGTTTTATCTAGTGATAAGTATCTGATAGGAATGTGTCTGATCGACACTACACAGTACCAAGGTTAAATAACACATAGTGATTATTATTAGTTAAATTTAAAAAACCCATTTTGGTTCACGGACGGATTAAAACGACTACCTTGAAACCAATTCCATCGCAATACATGTTTATTGATCACCTCAGTTTATCAAACTGAGCCATTATTAAATCTCAGTCATAAAATTACAAAAATAACCGGATAATTGCAACACTGAGTATTTGTCACACATTTTTAATCCTACAATCTCTGATTAAATACAACAATTGTCCCAGCAATAAAGCTAAACTCGTAATCTATAAAAATATTCAAAAAATTTATGCGTGTATCGATTTTCTGAGATCTATATTTCTCTCCATGGGTGATTGGGGGACCTGGATGTCTTCGTCTTCGACGTATCGATACATCAGGAAAATCGCCGCACAGCCTACCACGGTGAGAACGCCCCCAGCAATCCCCAGAGGCTACAACACAAATTTAGCACCCAGTCTCTCAAAGTGTCAAAATGACTTTCTCACCCCTGGTATCTGGTGCATGCTGACGTTCTCCTTACACGTCACTTTGGTTGCAGTGGTCATTATCGAACCCACAATCCCAACCACAGCGAATATCAAATTCAAAACGATGTCCTACAAAAACAATTTTCAAAAATTTCAAACAAAACAAAAATAAATTAATTTACCGCCGTCACCCATTTTCCAGGTTGGCTTACGGTGCCCCCGCACGAAAATATCAAGTACAACCCTAATTGTACAACAATGTTACAACCCACACAAGCGGGGAAAACTATGTCGTACCAATCGGGTTTGTCCACACAGACGTCCCAGGCCTGCGCCAAAAAGAGAGCTATTCCGGCTAAGGACACTATCTGGAATGAATAATTGTTGTGGTGACGGTGTTGCGAGTCCTTTGGGACTTACTGTAGCCACTACTTTAATCCACGCCGTTTTGGTCAGGGGGAATTTTCCACATTCTAACTTTTCTCGGACTAGTTCGTCGAAGGAGACGGTCACTGGGGAAAAACTGTTCAAAAACTGGGCTTTTTTCTGATTTATTGCCCGCTCTGCCATATTTCACTTCACATAATTTTCTATAACTAGGATTTATAGTACGGTAGGTGATCACTGATCATAAACTGTACAGATTTGAGATAAGGATCGATACATTGCGTTACAGGTTTATCTGTTTTCGTCAGAATTAATCCTCAAAGGTTAGAACGATAACGGATTTCGATACACGAAAAAAGGACAAGGGTCGTTTCGAAGGATATTTTTTAAGTTTGGCATAAAATCGTTCTTTAGAATGGTCGCATTTTTTTTTTTTATAAAAATGTATATATTCAAATCTTACTAAATTAATTTTACTAATGTATTTTTAGTGACGAAAATAAGTGTCAGTTGTCATTCATGTCATAGATAAAAAATAAATGTACTGATACGATAACAAGTTAATTAAAAACAATGCGAAGTCGGGCGTGCATAAATTTACTTTATGCGTTTAATTTATCGTCTATTTTTCTATTTCAGACGTCTGATTAATGTAGAATTTTAGAGACAGAACAATATGTGGTGATTGATAATAATATGGTGGATTATTTTGATTTATTAGTGCCAAAACAATATCTCCGTTAATCCATAGTCAACTATGCAGACTGCAAAATATTCGTCGAAAAGATTTTGTTTCAGAGTTGGCCTTAATTTTTCTTATGAACAAAGTATAACACATTCCAAAGATTTTAAATAAACGAGCAACTATATATAGCAGAATATCGCAATTACATAATACTATAATTAGGATTTTGTGTACTGTTGATTATTTAGTGTGCTGAAAGCATTTTAATGTTTACTTACTTAGTGTAAAACCGTTGTAGATATGACTGCGATTATCAAAAGTTTGTTGAAGTGTGACTGACAACAAACAGCTACACTGTTTTTGAGGTGAGTCTTAAAAAAATACCAAGTTATAATTTAATGGCGTCGTAGCCACGATTTAATTACTCTTTTGCTTTGCGATTCGGACAATTTTGAAAAAATTCGAAAAAAAAAGGGTGGGCAGCATTTTTCTCGCTCATTTGAAGAGGTATAACAAAAACATGCACGGAATCGTAATCCTGACAAAATTCTGCGTCCGATGATACCCCACACGGTCGATTCGGACCATTTTGAAAAAATTAAAAAAAAAAGGTGGGGCAGCATTTTTCTCGCTTATTTGAAGATATACATCAAAAACATGCACGGAATCGTGATCCTGACAAAATTCTGCGTCCGATGATACCCGACACGGTCGATTCGGACCATTTTGAAAAAATAAAAAAAAAAGGTGGGGCAGCATTTTTCTCGCTTATTTGAAGAGATATATCAAAAAGATCCACGGAATCGTAATCCTGACTAAATTCTGCGTCCGATGATACCCCACACGGTCGATTCGGACCATTTTGAAAAAATAAAAAAAAAAGGTGGGGCAGCATTTTTCTCGCTTATTTGAAGAGATATATCAAAAACATGCACGGAATCGTAATCCTGACTAAATTCTGCGTCCGATGATACCCCACACGGTCGATTCGGACCATTTTGAAAAAATTCGAAAAAAAAAGGGTGGGCAGCATTTTTCTCGCTTATTTGAAGAGATATATCAAAAACATGCACGGAATCGTAATCCTGACAAAATTCTGCGTCCGATGATACCCCACACGGTCGATTCGGACCATTTTGAAAAAATTCAAAAAAAAAGGTGGGGCAGCATTTTTCTCGCTTATTTGAAGAGATACATCAAAAACATGCACGGAATCGTGATCCTGACAAAATTCTGCGTCCGATGATACCCGACACGGTCGATTCGGACCATTTTGAAAAAATAAAAAAAAAAGGTGGGGCAGCATTTTTCTCGCTTATTTGAAGAGATATATCAAAAAGATCCACGGAATCGTAATCCTGACTAAATTCTGCGTCCGATGATACCCCACACGGTCGATTCGGACCATTTTGAAAAAATAAAAAAAAAAGGTGGGGCAGCATTTTTCTCGCTTATTTGAAGAGATATATCAAAAACAAGCACGGAATCGTAATCCTGACAAAATTCTGCGTCCGATGATACCCCACACGGTCGATTCGGACCATTTTGAAAAAATTCAAAAAAAAAGGTGGGGCAGCATTTTTCTCGCTTATTTGAAGAGATATATCAAACACATGCACGGAATCGTAATCCTGACAAAATTCTGCGTCCGATGATACCCCACACGGTCGATTCGGACCATTTTGAAAAAATTCAAAAAAAAAGGTGGGGCAGCATTTTTCTCGCTTATTTGAAGAGATATATCAAAAACATGCACGGAATCGTAATCCTGACAAAATTCTGCGTCCGATGATACCCCACACGGTCGATTCGGACCATTTTGAAAAAATTCAAAAAAAAAGGTGGGGCAGCATTTTTCTCGCTTATTTGAAGAGATATATCAAAAACATGCACGGAATCGTAATCCTGACAAAATTCTGCGTCCGATGATACCCCACACGGTCGATTCGGACCATTTTGAAAAAATAAAAAAAAAAGGTGGGGCAGCATTTTTCTCGCTTATTTGAAGAGATATATCAAAAACATGCACGGAATCGTAATCCTGACAAAATTCTGCGTCCGATGATACCCCACACGGTCGATTCGGACCATTTTGAAAAAATTCAAAAAAAAAGGTGGGGCAGCATTTTTCTCGCTTATTTGAAGAGATATATCAAAAACATGCACGGAATCGTAATCCTGAGAAAATTCTGCGTCCGATGATACCCCACACGGTCGATTTGGACCATTTTGAAAAAATAAAAAAAGGGGGGGCAGCATTCTCTTGAAATAGTATCACGAAAAACTAAAATTCCGCGAAATCAAACTTATCATTTTTGAGAGAAGCAGTATTTGTTGCACTGTACTTCAGGAACAAGGAAAGTTCTGTCGAAAAAACTTCCGATAAATTTCTTAAATTTATTTCATGTTTGGTCATTTTTCGCAATCAAGTGGTAATATTTGCCCGCATTCAAAGTTTAAGTTGGCAACGGTGAAACTTTATTGAACTACCACATTTGATTGGTAGATTTCGTGGCGCCAAATTTAAAGTGCGCCCAAACAACTGATGAAAATTCGACTCGTGCGATTCCGGCCCCGTCCCGTCCGTCATAATTTGCATAAGATAAACACGTCATACTCAAGGCGAAAGTTCGAGCCAGCGATAAAACCACTCATAAAATGTCACGGTTATTTCGAATAATAGTGCCAAGTCAAAGTTTATTTACTTGAAGCACTTGTCCCTCCATTGTCTCTTAAAGTACACAGTTCAGATGCATTCAAGCATTACTCAACTTCGTGCCTCAATTCTTTCGTGTTTTGTCACCAGCGTATAGGTTAGAATCATGAGTGCCGCCCCCAGGTGCTACGAAGACATGCTGGCGTCCCGGAGGGAGGAATTCAGCAACTTCATGTGGGCGTCGAGGCACCTGAAGCCCCAGGTGGCCTACCAACAAGAAAGACGGGCTTTGCCCCAGTACCACAAGGACGAGGTGCTGAAGTGCCCCAAAATCCAGGAACTGCTAGAGACAGTAAGTGGTAATTAACGTGTTTCGAAGATTCATTTGTTTTATTTAAGTTAAGCCAACAACAAAACGTCGCTAGAGAGGTCCTAGAAGCCCAAGTTAAAAGTATTTTGGACGAGATTGGCTACAATAAGAAGTTGAAAGTGATACGGTGGCTGGGGTTGGCGCTTGTCAAAATCACCAAAAAAATCTGTTCGGGGATTTATATTAATAGGAGCGCGATTGTGCATGTGAGTTACATTACAATTACCAAGATCAAGTGGTTATTGTGTGATTCATAGGTTAAGGCTCAAATGGGGGACTGCCCTGTGATTTTCGTACCTAGTCATAGAAGTTACGCCGATTTTATTTTAATGTCGCTGATTTGTTTTTCCGAGGATATGGCGATTCCGGCGATTGCGGCTGGAATGGGTAAATTCCCCCAATTAAAAATCACAACCAATTTTAACTGACGCTTGATTGGTAGATTTCCACGGTATGTGGGGCATGGGGACCATGCTTAGAGACACGGGGGCCTTCTTCATGCGCCGCACCTACAACAACGACAGTCTCTACTGGACCACCTTCAAACAATACGTCTACCAACTCGTGACAAAAGGCGATCTACCAATCGAGTTTTTCATTGAAGGCACCAGAAGCAGAAGCAACAAATCCCTCATGCCCAAATACGGCCTCATTCTAATGATTCTCAAAGCCTTTTTCTTGTCACAAGTCCCTGACATCCTTTTCGTTCCAATCAACATCAGCTATGAGCGCATTTTGGAGGAGAAGTTGTTCGCGTTTGAGCTTTTGGGGGTCCCCAAACCCAAAGAGTCAACCTCGGTAATTTCAAACTTATTAAATAATTAATTGATTTAGTGGTGATTTCAGGGCTTCTTTAAATCTCTTAGTATTATGAAAGAAAAGTACGGCGCGATTTATTTTGATATGGCGCAACCCATATCCGCTAAACAATTCTTCGGGGCTAAGTTCAACAAATCTGGTCACAATTTGCAGCCAATTCACCAACAAGAAATCACTGAAGAGGAAAAAAAGTTGATACCGGAGTTAGCGCATGAGATTGTACTTCAACAACAAAAACACTGCGTTATAACGACGTTTAATTTGATAGCGATTGTTTTACATCATAACTTATTTAATGAAAAAAGTCTGATGGGTGTGGATGATCTCTGCACCCAAGTATTATGGTTGAAAAAAATTCTTGAAGCTGTGGGGGCTTTCGTTCAAACCGACGACGTCAGAAATAGCGTGTTTGAAGCCTTGGAGGTCCACAAAAATATAGTCAGAGTAGATGAAAGTGGTAAAGTCACTCTAGTTTGGAACCAGATAGTCTTAGACAAAGCAAACATTGGCAAACTCAAAGCCCACAATCTCTCTGAAACAACTCTAACAACTTGTGTACCTTTCATCATGTTGCAGCTATACATAAACCCGGTATTGCACTATCTTGTGGACTGCGCCATTTTGGTAGCCATTTTGAAACAGCAAGCACTCACTCCAGGTCAGTACTTTTGCGTTTGATTGTACATTGAGGGCGACTTTTTCATAACCGCATGTTGGGTAATCATTTTATTTCTGTGCAGATGAACTTTTTGGGCGTTATCATTTTTTGAGGGCTCTGTTGTCCCAGGAATTTGTTACTTTTAGTACCAGGGAAAAAATGGTGTGTGGGTTTTTCAACTACCATTCCAATTCCAGTCAGTGTTTTACGTTGCGTATTTTCTTGTAGGAGTTTGAAGTGGCGCTAGAAAATTGCTTGAAATTGAATCTGGTGGCTAAAAATGGCGATGTGTATGAAACCGGAAGCGATAAAAAAAGCCAGGACGTGGTCAGTGGTTGCATTGATGGGTTTATTTTTACGTATTTTGTGGTTTGCTCAGTTCTTTTACAGGTAGTTGATGGTTTTGGGTTTATAAATAAATAATTGTTTGTGTTATTAGAGTGTGGATGGCGTCATTGACGAAAAAACGATTTTAACGAGAGTTCAAGCTGAAATTGAAGCGCGACTAAACGAAGACAACGCATTTATTCACCCGTATTCACTAAGCTTAGATACTATTACAAACTGCTTGACCACTCTTTCAAATGAGAAAATTTTGGTGAAAACTAGAAGGTACGTAATCGTCGGTTTTAACATTAAATTGAATTTAGTTTTTCCAGTAAAAACAGTATTTTGTATGAAATAAACCCCGCTGGAGTGTTATCAGTGAAAAGCAAATTAGGTGAGATTTGCTTATCTTATTGACTTTGTTTAATCCCGTTGATTGTAGAAGAATTTGTGGCGCCAAGCCACTCGTTACAAACCAAATTGGAAAGTATTCAGCTTCACTTAAAAACTAAGCTTTAATTCATTGCTGTGTTAATCCAGTATTTTTTTTAAACCAAAGTTGTATGTGGTGTTCTGGTGTGATTTTTAATAAACTAGTGTTGTGTGATTGGTCGTTTTGAATTCGGCGCCGCGTTCAAGTTGGCATCACCGCAAAAATCAAACTCCCTATTTTTTTACCTTGATAAGTAATGAAGGGATTTTAAAGACTTTTTCATCCAATTCTAAAATTAAGATACAAAATTAAATAAAAATGAATTCCGAAGTTAAAGAGAACTGTGTTATGTCTCAAGAAAATGTCGACGCCGGCGAACGTCTAAAATCCGAAGCTAACGAATACTTCAAAAGTAAGTTTCCGATTATTTACCTTATAAACCCGCATGATTCGTAAAAAACAAGCTCGTTAATTCGTTTAATTACGTACTCGGGTGACACGCCGTTTGTTTACGTTGTTTAAAACACGCGAACTTTATTGCTGTGTTGAGTCAACATAACCTCATTTTTTCGTTCCGTTTCAGAACAGAATTACAATGCCGCTATCGAGCTCTACTCTAAAGCAATAGAAGCGAATCCGACAGTAGCGATTTATTACGGCAATCGCAGTTTCGCTTATTTAAAAACCGAATGTTTTGGATACGCCTTAGCCGACGCTTCAAAAGCGATCGAATTAGACAAAAGCTACGTTAAAGGCTTTTATCGGAGAGCGGCGGCTCATATGAGCCTCGGAAAATTTAAGGAAGCCCTTAAAGACTACGAATACGTAAGTAGCCCCATTTAATTCCACATTTATTGATTTGTAATCCATCTAGGTTACTAAAGTACGCCCCAATGACAAAGACGCCAAAACTAAATACACTGAGTGTAATAAAATCGTGAAAAAGTTAGCTTTCGAGAAAGCTATTTCAGTAGAAGATACTAAGAAGAATATCGCTAGTACTATTAATTTAGACGCTATGAGTAAGTCGGTCTTTGGTGGTAAACACAATTTGAATGTGTGTTTTTTGTGTTTGTAGCTATTGAAAACGAGTACACAGGCCCGGAGCTCGAGGACGGCAAAGTCACTCTACAATTCATGAAAGAATTGATGGAATTGTACAAGAATCAAGGGAAACTCCACAGGAAATACGCCTATAAAGTACTATCAAATTAATGTGTCTCCGTTTTGTTGTAATCATGGTCGCGTTTTCAGATTTTGTTAGACGTGAAGGCTTATTTCATGAAGCAACCTTCGCTCATCGACGTGGAAATCGGCAGCGAAAACAAATTCACCGTTTGCGGCGACATCCACGGCCAGTTCTACGATCTCATGAACATTTTTAGCTTGAACGGGCTCCCGTCGGAAACCAACCCGTACCTATTCAACGGCGATTTCGTCGACCGAGGTTCCTTCTCCGTTGAGTGTATTTTCACGCTATTCGGATTCAAATTGTTATTCCCGGATTACTTTTTCATGTCGAGGGGGAACCACGAAAGCGCCACGATGAACCAAATGTACGGGTTCGACGGCGAAGTCAAAGCTAAATACACAGCTCAAATGGCCGAACTTTTCACGGAAGTGTACAACTGGTTACCGTTAGCTCATTGTTTAAATAAGCGAGTTCTCGTGATGCACGGCGGTTTGTTCACGAGGGACGACGTGACGTTGGGGGAGATCGGGAAAATCGATCGGAACCGGCAGCCCCCTGAAGACGGACCGATGTGCGAGCTGCTGTGGTCGGACCCGCAGCCCCAGAACGGGCGAGCGCCGAGCAAGCGAGGAGTGGGGTGTCAGTTTGGCCCGGATGTTACGAAGAAGTTCTTAGAGTTAAATAAGTTAGATTATATTATCAGAAGCCATGAGGTGAAAAATAACGGATACGAAGTCGCTCATGACGGAAAATGCATCACTGTGTTCTCCGCTCCTAATTATTGGTAAATAGGGGTGATTTTGTTGTGATGTGGATTGATTGATGGGTTTTAGTGATACCATGGGTAATCAAGGTGCTTTTATTACATTAAAAGGCAAGGATATGGAGCCTAAGTTTACCACGTATGAAGCAGTGGTAAGTTGCGTGGATGGGGGGTGTATGGGTCGTAATAGTTTTTTTCTAGGCCCATCCTAACGTGAAGCCAATGGCGTATGCACACTCTCTACTAAGTTTAATGTGCTAGTACCTGCCTTTTTAATGTAGTTGACGTAGGTATTTCATCACACTTTAATTTTTTTTGTATTAAACTTAATTTTTATTGTTTCTGTTATTTAATTTTGTATCATAATCGAAAAGATACCTCTAGAACTAAACTAAATAAAATATTTATTTATTGCCCAGTTTCCTTCATTGTGACGTAAGGTCGATAGCAATAAAGGTCTTCTACACTTTTAGTGTGGTTTTTCTTGTTGTTTTTCTCAAAGTTCGCCGTTTTCGAAGTATTAGAAAAATTTTGAATTTGTTGACAGTTATGCAACAAAGTCAAAAATTTAGTGACTTGTTGTTGCTACACTGGAGAGTTGGTAGTCCTGACTGTCATCGTGTCATCTAAACGGCGCGAATTGTTTAGAACGTGAAGTGAGGTTAAGTCAGTCGTGATTGTTTTGGTTTTTATTATTATCATCAATTAAAATCTTTGTAACGCTAGAATTTAAAAAAATAGTAAAATGGAAACGATAGAAGAGAGTGTAATTTCGCAATCGGACGACGAAAATGAAATGAACTTAACAAATCGGGGTAAAATTACCAAAAAGGCCAACATTATTGATAGTGACTCAGACAACGAAAACGTGATTATTAAAACCAACGTAGTTGAAATGCAAGACTCAGAAGACTCTACTTTAAATGATAAACCCACCAAAAGTAGACTCAAACGAGTGGCAGTCATCGATAGCGATTCTGACGACGAAAAAGACCAAACTAATTCTCTTAGTGTGAAAAGACACTCCGGTGTGCTTAACAGTGACGTGGAAGATGTCGTCGATGAGGAAGAAATCACCCCCCATAATAAAAGTTTCCCCGATGAAAATACAGCAGTGCAGGCTATAATTTACACGACGAACAGCAAGGGGGCCTTAATTACAGAAACAACGTCAATGGTGACCCCCTCTCTATCAGCGTTGTGTGATTCTGACTCAGAAGAAGAACTTGATCACAATATTATTGACACAACAGTGGAAAATTTGCAACCACGTGCGTATAAAAGAGCGCGGAAGAAGAACACCGACGAACCCAAAAAAATGACTGTCAAAGACGCAGCTAAACAAAGAAGCGAAATTCGTTCGGAATCTCAGAGAATGGTGCGCTGTTCGAATGTAAGTTTGCCCTATCATAAACCCAAGTCGTACACAATCACGGAATTTTTGCAAAAGAGGTCCAAGTTGGCGTCTACTTTACCTCCAATTCCGAAAGCGTCGCCTTCGGTCGCTATTAAAATGTCCAAAGACCAACTAAAAGAAGTTTCAAAAAACTTAGACGCGAGAATCAAGGAGGTGGAGGAGTTTTATAAGTCCGAAAGCGACGACGACGAAGACGAAGAGAACGACGACGCAACTGACGAAATTCAAACTTGGTTGAACGAATTAGTCGAAAAAGCGATGGATGAAGTGGAAAAAACTGAAGAAGTGGTTGAAATGGAAACGTCAAAGACTGAAGAATCGCTCGAGTACGATTTTAATTTAGATGATAGCGAAAACGACGCTTTAAAAAAATCTAGCGTGACTGACTTGATTAAGGATAAGCTCACGCTTCAGCCTAAGTTGTCAGGGTCGCCCGACGATATTATCGATTTTGACGAAGGGGTGACCAAAGTGAGTGCCGTTAAAAAACTGGTGGATAAATTTTTTCAACACGCTTGTAAAAAAGTCCCCCATAAGCACAAAGTCGAGTTGAAGTAAGTTTAAGTAAGGTGTGAGTTTGGTTTAAGTTTGGTTTTGTAGCGTGGTGGAAGTCGGGTCTCAGGGTCAGATTATCAAGGAGACGGTTTCTATGAATGTGGAGGAGGAAGAGGAGCCTGCGCTGGTCGAGACTCCGGGGGCTAAGTTGAAGAAGTTGCGCGAGGAGTTGCAGCTGCAGATGGCGCAGAAGAGACTGGAGCAGTGGAAGTTGAAGCATGAACAAGGGGACTGTCTGACGACGGAGAAGAAGGAAGGGTTTGAGGAGGAAGCGGCTGAGAAGGATATATTGGATGATGAGGAGGAGGAGTGTGAGATGACTGAGAGTGAAACGGAGGAAGAAGACGATGAGGAAGAATACGTAGAGGCGAAACCTGAGAAGAAAGTTAAATCGGTTTTTGTAGATGAGGAGGTCGGTCTCGGTTTTGTGTTTAATCACTGCCATTAAATGTACTTTTACAGGCTTTAGAAGATGAAGAAATGGATGAAGGTGGGGACGAAAGTGAAGACGATATAATCGAGAATGATGGGGGTGAAGACGGCGCCGAAGACGACGCTTGTGATGGAGATGTTGAAGAACCGCCAGAGGATGAGAAGTTGCAAAGTCCAAAGAAGAAAGTGTTGAAGAGAATCTTGAAACCGTTTAGTGTTGACTCAGATGATGAAGAGGATCAAAGTCAAGTCGTGGAATCTGCGGGGGCTTTAAAATATTACACAACTGGTTGGTAACAGATGTCTGCAAAAAATGTCTTTTACGCGAAATTGTTTAAAAAAATTAGTTATTTTCATAGATGTGGCGAATTTTGCCAAACTTTATTTTTGGACAAAATGGTGGGTGCGCCGGGATAATCCATGTTGATGACGTCATCAGAAATTTTTTATTGGTCAAATTAAGAACGAGTCAAATAAGAATTATAATATTCAGAACATTTTGCTCGATTGTGGCTTAATTAATAATTTTAGTCCTGTTTTGAGAAGACAAACTCATTCAAATCAGTAGAGAAATGTGTATTTTGAAATTACGCTCCGCCCCTCGGTCTAACAACGAATGAAAAATTCATCACAATGAGATAGGGGCGGGTGGGTGGGGCTTAATCTTTGTTTTCTTTTTTATTATAAAGAATTTTCTTTCAACAACAGGGTAGGTAAGCATATTTTCAGTTTCTTGTTGGGAAAAGAAGACTTCGTATATTAAGAAAGAATGGTCAAAATATAAGCCCCGCCCACCCACCCCTTCTCAATTGTAATGAATATTTTATTCATCGTGAGCTGAAGGGCGGAGTTTAGCTGCAAAATTCTAATTTCTTTACAAAAAGTTACCATATGAAATGTTTTTTTTCTTGGATTTTTAAAATTATTTAATTTTTGTACTTTTTTTAATTTTTTGAGTTTTCTGAGTTTCTTGGATGTTTTAAATTCTGATTTATTACGTTTTTTTTAGATTTTTTGTTATACTCACTCCATTTTTGGATTTTTTTTTTCATTTTGTGACTTTTGGATTTTTTTGGAATTGGATTTCTTGATTTTTTTTGAGATTCTGGATTTAAGTTCTTGGATTTATTTTTTTTAATTTTTAGGTTTTTTGGATTTTTTAGATTTTTTGTGGATATACGTATCCGATTTTTGGATTTTTGGGATATTTTCGTTTTGTTGGTATTGGATTTCTTGAGTTTTTGAGTTTGTAGGTTTTTTAAATTCTTTGGTTTTGTTTTTATAATTTTTTTTATTTTTTGAGTTTTTTAATGTTCTTGAATTTTTTCTAGGTATATTTTTTGAATTTTTTAATTCTTTTGATTTTTAATTTTTTTGGATTTTTGTAATTTTTTTTTGGATTTCTTAAGTTTTTTGAGTTTCTTGGATTTTTGATTTTTTAGTTTTTCGGAGTTATGTACTGGATTTCTTGAGTTTTTTGAGTTTCTTGGATTTTTAAAATTATTTCTTTTTTGTAAATTTTGTTGAATTTTTTTAGTTTTCTGATTCATTGTTTTATGGTTTTTTTTTTAGATTTTCCTTTGATATCTGTATTAGATTATTGGACTTTTTTTCATTTTGTGACTTTTTTGGATTTTTGAGATATTTTTCTTTTAGTATTGGATATCTTGAGGTTTTTTGAGTTTCTAGGTTTTCTCAAATTCTTTAATTTTTTTGATTTTTAAATTTTTTGTTAGTTTTTAAATTTTTTGTGTTTTTTGGTATTACTGGATTTCTTCAGTTTTTGAATTTCTTGAATTTTTAAAATTATTTTATTTTTGTACTTTTTTTATTTTTTGAGTTTCTTAGATTCTGGTTTACGTTTTTTGGATTTTTTTTTAGATTTTTTTGATATACGTACTCCATTTTTGTTTTTTTTTTTTTGGTATTGGATTTCTTGAGTTTTTTGAGATTCTAGGTTTAATTAAGTTCTTGGATTTTTTTTTAATTTTTTGAGTTTCTTGGAATTTTTTTAGATTGCTTGAATTCTTTACATTCTTTTGAATTTTTAATTTGTTTGGATTTCGAGTTTTTTGAGTTTCTAGGAATTTTTACATTTTTTGAAACTTTAGATGCTTTAATTTTTTGGATTTTCGTGATTTTTTTTTTGATTTCTTAAGTTTTTTGAGTTTCTTGGATTTTTTAAATTCTGATTTATTGGGTTTTTTTGGATTTTTAAGATTTTTTTTGGATGTATGTATCTGATTTTTGGATTTTTTATTTTCTGACTTTTTTGTTTTTTTGGGATATTTTAGATTTTGTTGGTATTGGATTTCTTGAGTTTCTAGGTTTTCTAAAATTTTTTGATTTTGTATTTTTTGTTTTTTAATTTTCTTGGACATTTTGTAGGTAGATTTTTTGAATTTTTTAATTCTTTTGGTTTTTCAATTTTTTTGATTTCTTGATTTTTTGGATTTTTGTGTTTTTTTCTTGGATTTTTAAATTTATTTCATTTTTGTATTTTTTTTCAATTTTTTTGAGTTTTTTTAGTTTCTTGGATTTTTTAAATTCTGATCTATTACGTTTTTTGGATTTTTTTAATTTTTTTTTATATACGTACTCCGTTTTTGGATTTTTTTTCATTTTGTGACTTTTTTGGATTTTTTTGGTACCAATTGGATTTCTTGAGTTTTTTGAGATTCTAGGTTTAATTAAGTTCTTGGATTTTTTTTTAATTTTTTGAGTTTCTTGGAATTTTTTTAGATTGCTTGAATTCTTTACATTCTTTTGAATTTTTAATTTGTTTGGATTTCGAGTTTTTTTTATTTCTAGGAATTTTTACATTTTTTGAAACTTTTTAGATGCTTTAATTTTTTGGATTTTCGTGATTTTTTTTTGATTTCTTAAGTTTTTTGAGTTTCTTGGATTTTTTAAATTCTGATTTATTGGGTATTTTGAATTTTTTAGATTTTTTTTGGATGTACGTATCTGATTTTTGGATTTTTTATTTTCTAACTTTTTTTGGATTTTTGGGATATTTTCGATTTTGTTGGTATTGGATTTGTTGAGTTTTTGAGTTCCTAGGTTTTCTTAAATTCTTTGGTTTTGTATTTTTTGTTTTTTAATTTTCTTGGACATTTTGTAGGTAGATTTTTTGATTTTTTTAATTCTTTTGATTTTTAAATTTTTTTGATTTCTTGATTTTTTGGATTTTTGTGTTTTTTTCTTGGATTTTTTTAAATTTGTTTCATTTTTGTATTTTTTTTTCAATTTTTTTGAGTTTTTTTTAGTTTCTTGGATTTTTTAAGTTCTGATTTATTACGTTTTTTGGATTTTTTTAAATTTTTTTTGATATACGTACTCCATTTTTGGATTTTTTTTCATTTTGTGACTTTTTTGGATTTTTTTGGTACCAATTGGATTTCTTGAGTTTTTTGAGATTCTAGGTTTAATTAATTTCTTGGATTTATTATTTTTAAAAAATTTTGAGTTTCCTGGAATTTTTTTAGATTGTTTGAATTCTTTACATTCTTTTGAATTTTTAACTTTTTTGGATTTCGAGTTTTTTGAGTTTCTTGGATTTTTTACTTTTTTTGAATTTTTTAGATTCTTTAATTTTTTGGATTTTTCATGTTTTTTTTTTATTTCTTAAGTTTTTTGAGTTTTTTGAGTTTCTTGGATTTTTTAAATTCTGATTTATCGGGTATTTTGGATTTTTTAGATTTCTTTTGGATAGACGTATCTGATTTTTGGATTTTTATTTTCTGACTTTGGATTTTTGGGAAATTTTCGATTTTGTTGGTATTGGATTTCTAGAGTTTTTGAGTTTCTAGGTTTTCTTAAATTCTTCGATTTTGTTTTTTTGTATTATTTGTGTTTTTTAATTTTCTTGGATATATTCTAGGTAGATTTTTTGAATTTTTTAATTCTCTCGTTTTTTAAATTTTTTGGATTTCTTGATGTTTTGGATTTTGTTTTTTTTTTTTTTTTGGATTTAAGTTTTTTGAGTTTCTTGGATTTTTAAAATTATCTCATTTTTGTATTTTCTTTTCAATTTTTTTGAGTTTTTTTTTGTATTTTTTAAAATCTGATTTATTACGTTTTTTAGTTTTTTTTTTGCATATTCGTATTCGATTTTTGTTTTTTTTTCATTTTCTGGCTTTTTTAGATTCTGAGAAATCTTCGATTTTCTTTGATTTTTTTTTGATTCTTTGATTGTTTTTTTTTGGATTTCGTGAGTCGATTTTCTTCGGTTTGTTTTTTAAATTCTTTGATTTTTTTATTTTTGTATTTTTGTATTTTTTTTTGGATTTCTTAAGTTTTTTTGAGTTTCTTGTAATTTTTGTTGAATTTTTTTGAGGTCTCTGATTCATTGTTTTATGGATTTTTTTAGATTTTTCTTTGATATCCGTATTAGATTATTGGACTTTTTTTTTCATTTTCTGACTTTTTTGGATTTTTGCGATATTTTTCTTTTGGTATTGGATTTCTTGAGTCTTTTTGAGTTTCAAGGTTTTCTCAAATTCTTTAATTTTTTTGGAGATTTTAAATTCTTTTTATTTTTTAATTTTTTGGATTTCTTGAGTTTTTTGGATTTTTTGAATGTTTTTAAATCCTTTGATTTTTTTGATTTTTGTGATTTTTAAAGATCTCTTGAGTTTTTTGATAGTTTTTAATTTTTTTGTTTTTTCTTTTTTGGAATTATTGGATTTCTTGAGTTTTTGAGTTTCTTGGATTTTTAAAATCATTTCCTTTTTCTAATTTTGTTGAATTTTTTTAGTTTTCTGATTCATTGTTTATGGAATCGTTAGATTTTTCTTTGATATCCCTATTAGATTATTGGACTTTTTGTTTCATTTTCTGACTTGGATTTTTGAGATTTTTTTCTTTTGATATTGGATTTTTTGAGTTTCTTGGTTTTCTTAAATTCTTTAATTTTTTTGGATTCATTAAATTCTTTTTATTTTTGGATTTTTTGAGTTTTTTGAGTTTCTTGGATCTTTTACAATTTTTTGAATGTTTTTAAATCCTTTGATTTTTTGGATTTTTGTGATTTTTTTAAGATTTCTTGAGTTTTTTGTAAGTTTTAAAATTTTTTGTTTTTTTTTTTTTTGGAAATATTGGATTTCTTGAGTTTTTTGAATTTCTTGGATTTTTTAAATTCTGATTTATGAGGTTTTTTTGGATTTTTTAAAAGAGTAGAATTTTCTTTCAACAACAGGATAGTTAAACAAGTTTTCAGTTTCTTGTTAGGAAAAGAAGTCTTCGCATATTAAGAAAAAATGTACCAAATAGAAACTCCGCCCACCCACCCCTTCTCAATTGTGATGAATGTTTTAGCTGCAAAATTCTTATTTCTCTACAAAAAATTACCATATGAAATATGTGTTTAAAAGGGTAGAATTTTCTAGAGAAATAATATGTCACAATTAAGCTCCGCCCCTCGTCTGATTGGGAATCAAAAATTCAACTGATATCAGGGTGGATGGGGCTTAATTTTTTATATATATATATATATGTATATAAAGACAAATTATAATAAAAAACATATTTCCAATCGAAAAATTGCAAAATCTAAAAATTGGAACGTCCAAAAGTTGGAAAATCGGAAAACTGGAAAATTTAACAATGAAAACTCGAAGAGATATCGTAAAATCAGGAGCGAGGGAAATTGCACAGATCCTCGATCCTTCAACTTTTAACTTTACGCAAAAATGTCGTGGTGACAGATATCTGTATAAAGTGCATAAAATCTCTTGCTAGAGGGCGCTGCCTTTGTTTCTGTGAGTTCACTTAGTTGCGCTTCTCGATCGAACTAGAAAATAAAACCAGTAGCGAATTTATTGCTTAAATTTAACACACATTAATTCTTTTTGCTTCAGACGAAGACGACTTCATACCCCCAAATTTGCCCCGAGTCGGCAAAACTCCGCAGCGCACACAACTCGATAAAAATAAATCCGAATTCGACTTCCTAACACCAGTAACGTATTTAACGGGCCTCCAGAATCTAAATTCGGACTCCAAGGTACCTAACTCCATAAACGTCGTCCGAAAGTTATCTCTTACGTTTTTTTTAGTTTTTGCACGACTCCCCAACATCCCCATCTAATCTAACTAGAACTCAATCACTCGAAACCGGCACCCAATCTCAAGTACAAAAGCAACTGTTTTCGGAAAACTCTGAGCCGTCACAAGACTCCCAGGTACCTTCATTCTTTTCATTTAAAATTTTTCATTTAAAACGATTCTATTCAGGGTAATTTCGAAGACCTAGCACAACTGTGCTCTGGAACGTTTCCCGAAACGCAGACCGGAGCATCCGGTGCCAAGTCTCTCGAGACAGAAGAGTTACCTTCCACTCAAGATTTAATAAATCTGTGCTCAGGCGATTTTTCCAATACTAATTTAAATAAAGAAGACAAACCAATCAACCATGTCCACACTCACCCAGACAACGAACTCAAAAGTCTTGACGAAGAACAAGACCAAATCATCTCTCAGCTTCTCGACGAAGACGAGTTAGAACGCTTCAAGAAAAAATTCGAATCGCCCATCAACCCCACGATCCGGAAAACTCAAGTGTTGGAAGACGTCGAGGAAGTCAACGCCACCGGTCTCATTAATTCGGACGATGAAGGCCTCGAAATCAAAAAGAAGAAACGCACGAAATTGGTGTTTTCGGACGACGAAGATTCCGACGACGAAGACGTGGAAGAAGACGAAGAGGAAGAGATAGATTTGCACGATGACGTGGACGAGGAGCAACAGCTCGAGGATGAGATCGTCGCGCAGGAGTCGCACGGGTATAAAATAAGCGACTTTTTGGATAAGGAGGCCGAATTGTCGGAGTCGGAGTGGGGGAGCGCCGACGAGGACGAGAAGGGTTTGGATGAGCTGGAAGTGGAACAAGGGGACGAAGAAAAATTCAACGAAAATAAAGTGAGGAGTGAGCTGGAGAGGATACACATGTAGGTATTTTAAGTAAAACACGTACACCGAGATGGTTGTTTTTGGTTGAAATAGGCGTCAGCTGTTGGATGAAGATAACAGAGAGGTGAAACTTCTCCAGGAGTTGTTATTGGAAGACGGCGAACTGCACGGAACCGGTCGGAAAAGACAATTCAAATGGAAAACTCTCGGTACTTGCGGAAACATTTATAAACTTGTCTTATCAGGTTTTTGTAGACTCGGCCGATGACAGTCAATTCGAGAAGCGCGATGACGATGACATATACCTAGACGAAGAAGAAACGGAAGAACATTGGCGCAAAATGAGGCACAAGAGAGAAATGTTTTTGAAGAAGAAGTCAGGTGGTGACGACGAGGACAATATTTTAAGTGATAGCGACATTTTAAAAATCGGACAACAGGTTTTAAAAACTAAGTCACTGTCTTCTCAAAATAGTACTCCCACTAATAAAGAAGAAACTAAAGAACCTTTCAATTTATTGGTAAGTTTGTGTCGTTTTTGATCAATTAATAAGTGTACATTTTGTTTTAAAGAACAAGCGAGGGTCGTTTTTGAGCAGGAGCGACCAGGTTTTACAACGACTAGCGGAATATAATAAAGTAACAACTAGTGTAGGAAATTCGGCAAAAAATTCGAAGTGCTTTGTTTTTCAAACAGTTGACTCTAGTGTGGTTAAGGTATGACGTGTGTTTATATTTTCAGTGTGTGTAATTATTTTAATTCTAGGATAACAACAATAAGAGAAAAGCGACGGAAAGCACACCAAACGTGATTAAAAAATTAAGGCTAGATGACTTAAGTCCAGCCATTGCGAAGAAGAGCGCCGGGAAAAATTCAAAAGCAAAAAAACTCTTCGGAAATTGGTGATAGTGTTACATTGTGCATATTTATTTAGGTTATTATAAGCAATAATTTTGTAATGAGTATTTAATAAATAAATCGTTTTATTATTTTTCTCGTTTGATTTTACTAATGTTTATCGGCTTTTCCGAGAAAACGAACCTGAATTCAATTATCCTAGGTGGATAACGGGCTTCGCCGGTCCCCAAGGATTTGAGATAATTGCGGGGACTGGTCGCTAAACGGGATTACTGTCTTCGCGTCGATTTATCCCGAAGATTCTGATGACGAGTGCTAATTTGGTAGGAACGAGTTTGACAAAAAAGGTGGATGCGCCGGGATATGTGCTAAAATCGCATTGTTTTACACCACCCAGACACTCACCCTCCCGATCATTACCGAGCTCATCCAGGCGCATTATGCAACCATTGTCGAGAAAAACGTCGGCGGCCACTTCAAAGAAACTCCAGCTAACGACGCGGTCAGCTCCACGGTAAATACAACAAAAATGGGGGGCGTCCAGTGACGTCATTAACTGGGTGAAATCGGAACGGTGTATACAAAGTCGTCAAATAAAAAACCATCGCCTCGACGGCAACCGGAGATTGTTTCTTGTTTACACAGTGGTCACAGCACGCCAGATTTAATAAAGCACATGTCCGATAATGTTTGTCTTTCACATCTGCCGCTCTCGCTTTGTAGAGCGACGTTTTCCTCGCGCTAAATTAAAATGTCGACAATGGAGAAGACCAGATAGTCCATTTTCGGGCGACGAGTGTTTGCTCTGGGTGGATGAGAGGCGCAGCAAATTGGTAATTGGCTCGGCGATTCGGCGAAGACTTGTTGATTCGGGATTTGGGACAGCACGAGGGTCCAATTAGGAGGAATTGTGGCGTGATTTGCGCGATTGGGGCACCGGGTGGCGGAAAATTGGCAAGTGAAGGAGTAAGTGTGAGGAATGAAATTGAAAAAAAATGTTTAAGTGGTTTTGAAACAAGATTTTCCGCTGTGTGTAAATTTCGACACATTTTCGACGATTTTCGAAATTTAACTAAATATATTTTCTTGTAAATTTCGGGCCGCAGAAGTCACTTTCGCGCTCATTTCTTCGATAACTCCAACCGTTTTTCCAGAATCGCTCATTGAAATATCGCCATTATTAAAAATTTGAAAAAATTCGGATTTCACACCAAATTTTCCGAAAATATTGCTCCGTTACCATAAACACGCTATATTTTTGGAATCAACACGTCAAGATCTATACCTCGATTTTTTTCAGAATTTTTAGACAACTTTTTCAAAAATGAGATTTTCCACTATTTATGTATATTTCGATCCATTTTCGACGATATTCGAAATTTAACTACATACATTTCTTGTAGATTTCGAGTCACAAAGTCACTTCTGGCCTCATTTCTTCGAAAATTCCAACCGTTTTTCTAGAAACGTCCATTGAAATATCGCAATTTTTTAAAATTTAAAAAAATTGAATAGGTACACGTGCAGAAGATCTTGCGTCATTTTTGCAGAGTTTTTGTTCGAATTAAAGAGACATCGACGTCAACTAACCTCTGTTCGGATTACTGGATGTTCGAATTATAGAGGTTATACTGTACTTGTATTTACAATTGAGTCAAATTCAAAATCAACTAGTCTATTTTTTTAGATATTTAGAATTTAAACTGAATTGTTTTCTAATTTCTTTGCTAAATAAGATCTTGGAAATTTCAGTTTGTAAATTATTTAAAACAATTTTGGTGTACTGTTTTTGAAAAATTCTGACCTGATCTGTTTTTGAATTAATTTTGGAACCCCGTTATTTTTTTGAAAAATTTAAAACAATCTTGAAGTTCTCTTTTCTTAGAAGGTATCTCATTTGTCAAAACCACTCCGATCTTAGCAAGAACTAACCCCGCCCACCCACCCTCTCGTTCCTTAGAAGGTATGTCATTTGCCAAAATCGATCTTATTTTAGCAGGTATTAACCCCGCCCACCCGCCCTCTTTTTTCTTAGGGGATGTCACGGGTGAGAAAAATATTAATTAAAAGTTTTATTCCTAGTTATTGTGCTACTAGCCCCACCCACCCGCCCTGTCTTTTCTTACAAAGTATCTCATTTGCTAAAATCAGTCTTATCTTAGAAGGTACTAGCCCCGCCCACCCACCCTCACGTTTCTTGGAAGGTATGTGATTTGCTAAAATTGGTCTTATCTTACCAGGCACTAGCCCCGTCCACCCCCCCTCTCTTAGGGAGTATCTCATTCGCATTTCACACTAAATTTTCCGAAAATATTGCTCCGTTACCATAAACACGCTATATTTTTAGAATCAACACGTCGGGATCTATATCCCTGAATTTTTTCAGAATTTTAGGACGACTTTTTCAAAAATGAGATTTTCCACCATGTATGTAAATTTCGACCTATTTTCGACGATTTTCGAAATTTAACTAAATACATTGTCTTGTAAATTTCGGGCCGTAGAAGTCACTTCCGAGCTCATTTATTCGATAACTCCAATCCGTTTTTCCAGAATCGCTTATTGAAATGTCGCTATTATTAAAAATTTGAAAAAAACCGCATTTCACATCAAATTTTCCGAAAATATTGCTCCGTTACCATAAACACGCTATAGTTTTGGAATCAACACGTCGGGATCCATATTCCTGAATTTTTTAAGAATTTTTAGACGACTTTTTCAAAAGTGAGATTTTCCACTATGTGAGTAAATTTTGACCCATTTTTGACGATTTTCGAAATTTAACTACATAAATTTTTGTAGATTTCCGGCCACAATTTTCTTCGAAAATTCCAACCGTTTTTCTAGAAACGTCCATTGAAATATCGCAATTTTTAAAAATTTCAAAAAATCCAATACAACACGTGCAGAAGATCTTGCGTCATTTTTGCATGTCGGTGCATGTTTGCAGAGTTTTTGTTCGAATTAAAGCCACATCGACTTTAACTAACCTCTGTTCGGATTACTGGATGTTGGGATAATCGTGGGTTCGGATTATAGAGGTTATTACTGTATTTATAGTTACAACTGAGTCAAATTCAAAATCCGCTAGTCTCTTTTTTAAATATTTAGAATTTAAATAGAATGGTTTTCTAAATTTTGTACTAAATAAGATCTTGGAAATTTCGCTTTGTAAATTATTTAAAACAATTTTGGGGGACTTTGGTGTTCTGTTTTTGAAAAATTCTGACCTAAACTGCTTTTGAGTTAATTTTGGGACCTCGTTATTTTTTTGAAAATTTTAAAACAATCTTGAGGCTCTAGGTACTCCTGTTTGGAAAGAATTTAAAAGTGTTTTGGAGCCTCTAGTGTCTTTTCTTATTATAATTTAATTAAATTTCTTAGAGGATATCTCATTTGTCAAAATCACTCTTATCTTAGCAAGAACTAACCCCGCCCACCCACCCTCTCGTTTCTTAGGGGATATGCCATTTGCCAAAATCACCCTTATCCTAGCAGGTACTAGCCCCAGTTTTACCTTAGAAGGTACTAGCCACGCCCACCCGCCCCCTCTTCTCTTAGAGGGTATCTCATTTGCCAAAATCAGTCTTAACTCGGCAGATACTAGCCCCGCCCACCCACCCTCTCTTTTCTTGGAAGATATGTGATTTGCCAAAATCAGTTTTATCTTAGCAAGCACTAATGGACTAACTTTTACAAAAAATGATCAAAATTGATCCTCTGATCATCCCAACAAGAAAATCCCTGGGAAAGGAAATGCTATCTGGGTGACTGGAAAATGGCAGATTAACTCTTCAGTACGGGTGTATCGAATCCCCCAAAAAAAAAAAATCTTTACGATGTAGATTACGAAAAAAAAGTAATTTTATAAAAGTAAAATTTCTGATTTCTTAGTAATGGTGACTGAAATCCACTTTTTATTTTTTTTAAAACAATAACCATAACAGTAGTCATCGTTGTGCATTATTATTAATAAAATAAGCTGTTATTGTTCATTAATAAATAAACAAAAAAAAAAACATTTAATAAGACATTTATAAATTATAAACAAAAACAAACCAACAAAGAAAAATCCATTAAAGCATAACCAACTTAATCAAATTCCCTTGTGCATCTAAGGAAGATGTTTCTAAATTTTGATCATTTTTTGTAAAAGTTTACTCATCAGTACTTGCTAAGATAAAACTGATTTTGGCAGAGACATGGTCTCTAAGAAAAGAGAGGGTGGGTGGGCGGGGCTAGTACTTGATAAAATAAGGTCGATTTTGGCAAATCACCTACCTTCTAAGAAAAGTGAGGGTGGGTGGGCGGGGCTAGTACCTGCTAAGATAAAACTAATTTTGGCGAATGACATACCCCCTATGAAAAGAGAGGGTGGGTGGACGGGGTTACTACCAATGACACTAAAGGCTCCAAAGCAGTTTCAAATATTTTCCGTACAGGAATACCTAGAACTTCAATATTGTTTTAAATTAAAAAAAAAAAAACATTTGATCAAATTGTTACAAAAAGAACACAACCATATCTTTGTATATTCTAACTGAAATGGTAATTAAACATGGTCACGGGCGAGAAAAATATTAACTAAAAGTTTTATTACTAGTTATTGTGCTACTAGCCCCACCCACCCGCCCTGTTTTTCTTACAAAGTATCTCATTTGCTAAAATCAGTCTTATCTTAGAAGGTACTAGCCCCGCCCACCCACCCTCACGTTTCTTGGAAGGTATGTCATTTGCCAAAATCAGTTTTATCTTAGCAGGTACTAGCCCCGCCCACCCACCCTCTCTTTTCTTGAAAGGTATGTGATTTGCTAAAATTGCTCTTATCTTACCAGGCACTAGCCCCGTCCATCCCCCCTCTCTTAGGGAATATCTCATTCGCATTTTACATTAAATTTTCCGAAAATATTGCTCCGTTACGATAAACACGCTATATTTTTGGAATCAACTCGTCGAGATCTATATCCCTGAATTTTTTCAAAATTTTTAGACGACTTTTTCAAAAGTGAGATTTTCCGATATGTGTTAGTACCCATTTTCGACGATTTTCGAAATTTAACTAAATACATTTTCTTGTAAATTTCGGGCCGCAGAAGTCACTTTCGCCCTCATTTATTCGATAACTCCATCCG